TAAATATAATTTTTGGTAATACAATACAATTCTGAGTGGAACGTGAAGTGATTTGGAAAGGTTGATTCCTTTTTTTTTAGATAAGAATAGGTGTATACAAATAAGAAACAAGGGTTCAATTGGGGTGCAAATTTGCATCCACCTACGCGTATTTGGTAGAGAGCGCTGCTATTGTAGCAGAATCGTACCTTCATTTCCTAATATATATATCGCAAAATTTCGGATACATACTCAGTATTGATGAAAAACACATGCATTGCACAAAGAAATGGATATATGGGACTTCACCCACACATGTGGTATTATTGTTTTGTCAAAACGCTACAACTAGGCCTATTTCTTTTCATATTATGAATGTTATTGCATTAGAATGACTTGTTTCCAAATTGACACAAGTATGAGAAAGCACACAAAGATATTTTCGCTTTTACAAGAACCAACTGGTTTCTCAACCTGCTCTTAAAACTGTGAGATCAGGCTTTTAACATCAAGTCAACGTCAAAGAACATCCCTGTTTATTCGCTTTAATTAAATATTCATAAAACCAGCAACTAGATACGGAGTGTTAGACGTAGGTTCATGCGGATCTTTACACAATTTATTATTGCACCTTTTGAACAATGTACAATTGACGAAGTCTTTTTCATTTTACATTTCTATTTTAAATGTTGGAATCAAACTTATGGTCTGCAGTGAAAAAATTATATTAAAAAACAAAATATTAACATCAATGCTGATCATCTGTAGCCTATTAAAGTTAACACGTCTCAAGAATTTCGTTCCATTTGGTATACATCTACCCGACTTAAATTTCACAATTAATTTTTTTTTAAATCGTTTACGTTTTGGATAGATTCAGATGAGTGAAAAGTCAGTAGCATATCCGAACTCATCACACTTTTGTTTCTATCTATTTTGTCCTTGAATCAATAACAATGCCATCGGAGTTAAAGGTTATAAAATACCTATAGTTTAAAATGGTAAACGAACAAAACTCCGTACGATTGATCAACACAAAATACAACATCCCAAGGGGGTGTACTACGATACCGCTCGAGCTATTAGCAAAAAAGCGTTGGAGTAAATGTAGAGCGATTGGTCGAGTGCTCTTGATTAAAAACTGACTTGTGTTTCAGTTGCTATTTACATTTCACTTTACGCCCTGTAAACACACGGATCCGGTATTGGGAAAACAATCCCCATTTTAAGATTCATAATTGCATTGCAGATCAATTCAGCACAAAAATATTTTAATGAAACGATATCTCGTTGAAATTTCAATAGTTCCTCGTATATCTGGTTGAAAAGTGTTGGTTTCAAAAGATTGCTGAATTCATTTTTTTTTCACAGAGGATGGTTAAAATATTTGCCCATCGTATTGCCAAAAGGTTTAGAAATTAAGAAAAAATCCTTGGCATTGGAAAGAGGCAAATTAGGGTAGCCGGTATGTCAAGTACATGATATCCTTATTTATTTCCATTTATTTTCGTTAATCTATTGATGCCCTTCTTCTATACATGGGATACTGGAAGACTTATTTTGTTCTAGACTAGGACATCTTTAATGATTTTAGCTAATAAAAAGAGCAGTTTATTCCACAACCCATATTCGTAATCACTCTCCAGACATAGGCATTACAAAGCATTTCTTTCAGGTTATAGTAATAGTAGTAATAATAATGATAATAATAATGATAATAATTATGAAAATGAAACAATAATGATAATAACAATAATGAAAATAGCAATGATTATTATAATAATAATAACAAGTATAATATTGATAATTCAAATAATAATGATTGTAATAATGATAATAATAACAACAATAATTATAATGTTATATGAGATTTGTAAGGGGCCAACTCCACTTAAAAAAACGAATGCTCAATGAGCACTTGTGCGTATAAATCGTAAGCAAATGACACACACACACATACACACATACACACAAACACACTTTCCTGGTAATTAAGAAAAAGTGCACAGTCTGCGACATAATGCCCCTTAATAAGAGTAAACAAATACCCTTCCCTTCAAACAACTTTACATGCTCCTTTGTGCTTCGTAGTTTTCCTCAAGTACTACGCAAAGGGGGGGGGGAGGCGGCTTTAAAGATATCACTCGATGGCTGCGCCTCCGACGAAAAGTACTTCTTGAGGTAATTTTAAAGCATTTCTTGTAAAGAAGCAATGAACATAACCACGGACGAGGGAGGAAGAATCTTTCCAATGGACATGGCGAAAAATTGTATTCCAATTTGTATTTTCATTCATTTTATTTCGTTAAGTATTAATATGTGTCACCTGTGCCTAGGAGGCGAAAGGCAAACTGAATAACCGTATACCCCTCGGGTTTCTCCTCCCGGTATAACTAATTGGGGGTGTGCAGGTGGACCACTACATCGGATTTTCATCCTACTCTTATACACACAGTGCAGTGGGTTCTTAACGTGCAAAGCTGGTAACGCTAATCCAAACGGGGCCTTCATTTAACGTCATATCCGAGGAACGAAGTATTTTCCACTGTTACATAGACTGTGTCTATAAAAACAAGGGAGAGGCACGTTAACACACAACGCAGGCTTCAGTCATCCGCACGAGTTAGATTCGAATATACGTTTCATTGGTGCAAATCCTAAGCAACACCCCAAGACATCTTACTAAAGATTGGGCCTATACGACTTTAACCAAATAAATAAATAAATTTTGTTTTTAAGCGCACTCACACAGACAAAGAACGATCATGTTTCTTCCGATGCACCAAAAGACGTTCAATTACTACAATAAAGAAATGGTAACAAGTGAAATAATAAAGAAGGTGTCACCATTTTTTAGCACAATGATATGCCATGCAAATTGATTTATGTGAACTATAAATGACATGCTGAAGCACAAAGCAAATTTAATTTGTTAGCGATATTGTCTTGCCACAGGGTTATTTTAGTGCTAGCACACAGCTATAAAATATCTGCCTAGTTGTTCTAGGCATTGTCACCTATTTAGATTTCCATCACACATTTAGACAAATAAGATGACAGTGTTTATGATGGCTGAACAGTTAACAACTAAATTAATCATACCCTTTAAAGTTGAGAATTTTGTTAAGTATGTACAAAAATGATTTGTCCCAATGTATTTTTCTTGAGCACGTGACATATTGTAGCTTCCATCTAAAAGCATTCAACAAAGTCCCTCGTTTAATAAGTCCACCTTTCTCTTTTTAGTTACGAAAAACACATTAAAAAAAAAAAATCAAATTTACACTGAGTATGAATAATAAAGTTGTTAAATGTACCTTGTCTGCTCTTTGTGGAATTGATATATTGCGTATGAGAGTATTATAAGTAATTAGCTCCGAGCAATGACTTTTAATTCGATGTTAGTCCGATCCAGTAGCAATTTGAATTGAATAAACAGATACAAAATTAAACAAAACGGTGAATGTTTCATCAAAACCGGACGAGAAAAAAAAGGAAGTTATTGAATTGTAATGTTTCACATAATGTCATGAAATAGTGACATGTATCACATAGGCTGTAGGCAAAAGAGCGAGTTGATGATGTCACCCCTTACTATTTCTTATTTATTTTCTTCATGGGATTTCAACAACAACAAAAAGGACACACATTTAAATTTGTTTCTTTTATATTAAAACAAATTACAGTAATGTTGATTTTGCACCTATTCGATGAGGAGTAAAGCAACGTTTTTTCATTCCCTGATCAGAAAAGGGATAATTTATGTTAGATTATGTACAAAAAGGAAAGAGATAAGCGAGGGGATGACATCCTCACATTTTACTGTTGTATTTGTTTAATTTCTCTCTATTCATTTAATTTAACGCAAATGAGCCGGACGTGTTAACTCTTCCAAGACTCAAGCAAGCAAGGCTCAATCACCTTCCTCTACATTGACATATTAATTATGTTAAACCCAACAACTTTTCACCTTAACAAGAACCCAACCTTCTCTTTAACTATGATTTAAAGACACTTTCCGATGAACATACTAGTATATATTAATAAAAAGCTGAGTTAACGTTGAATATGAATATATAGAAATACATTATTTTTTGTCCCTTTCATTATTGCACAAAGGCAGATTAAACTTTACACGTAAATCTGAAATTTAGTGAGGATAAATTAAATATAACATTAAACGTCATACTCGATCTAAAATCCTAGCAAAATAAACATCGCTCTAGCTCGACACCTGTAACAAAATGAATCTCCGTGTTGGCTGTGAAGTTTATTTCACATCTAATTTTGTTACCATATGTACTAGCCTCAAGTTGACATAATCAATTGTTTCATTTGCTTGAATATTCCATGAAATGATAGAACTGTTCAATGTTCATTTTTTATTCATTGATAAATATGAACTTATGAGTTGATACCAACAAAACAAAAGTAGACAGACGCCATGACCGCATTTAATACACACGTATGAAACCGCGGCTTTATATCGATCCCGAAGCACAGACTCCTACATATCATGTCGTCATCAAATCATCCCCTTTTTTAGCTAGATGATTTCCGGGTTTCAACGCTTTTGAATTCTCGCTTTCAGATAGCGTTTTCTCCTCTGGCAGACACTTCAAATGCATATAATTGACATTGCTATATTCTATGGTTCATAATATTTCATTTTCTAGTTCAGACTGGATCTTTAAGGATTCTTATTCGCTCTAAAAAGATTTATAATTCGGTCAACAAATGTATTTAATGAAATAAAGGCTTAGGAATTGTCTAGACTAAATATCTCATTAACGAGAAATATAATTTCTCTTTAACAGTGATCTTAATATACTTAGTCGGTCGAAAACATTAGTAATCGGGTCAACAAACTTATTTTATGAAATTAAGGCCTATAAACTTTTAAATATTGTCACCTTTACAAGAACTGTACTTTCCCTTATATGAATTAAAGATTCATAATCGGGTGAAATAATTAGGTCAACAAATACATGTTACGAAATTAAAATTTCATTTTGGTCAACAAATGCATGTTACGAAATGAAGATTTTTTTTTAATGCATTCCATGCGATGTATATTTTATAAGTGCTAGTGACCGGACGTCAACATCTATCAACAGTCTTTGTTATCTTACATCTTTCTCAAGTACCTTCGAATTTGAACAAACAGCATGCCAGCGGCCGAGCTTTAAATCAAAATCACGCCGAAAGTAACAAGCAATGAGACACGTTAGATTATTGCCGAAGTAAAGGTGACGGATCTATGCTTTTTTTGTTTACAATATGCAGAGGAGTGAGGCTTGAAAGAAATAGGTGGGTAAATATTTCATCAGGCTGACGTGCTGCCCAACTATTGTATGATAGGTTTTTGAGTAGATTACACCGAAGGTATGAAACCTTTCCTTCCCACGCACATTGGCCGAATGAAAGAAGAAAGACTGAGGCAAGGATGGCGCGGAGGCGTTGCATCAAAGTAATGGGCATTTCCTTGTTAAACGTTAAAAGGTAGAAATGGACAAAAGGGAAGTTCAAGTTTTAGACTTTGATCATGGAAGATTAATGTGCAATAAATCTTCACACTTTCTGGAAGCGCGAGCTACTAAAAGAGAGACGTTATTAACTGTTCTTCCATGTCAGGAGTACGAAGTAAAGGAAAAATGGAGGAAACCACGAAAGGGATGTTGCGGTACCTTTTGTGGTAAGTATTAGTAAGAGTAATAAAGTATTTGGTACGATTGGTGACTGCAATATATGCGGGACAGTGTTCATATAGTTCGTATGATGAATCTGAAGAAGAAGAAAACTTAAGGAAAATTACAAGTCCTTTACGAAAAAAAATTGGAAAATTAAAAATGAATAAAAACACGATCGCATCTATTTAAGATAAATCAACGTAAGTGTAATGTCAATAATAATAATAATAATAATAATAATAATAACGTTTTATTTACCCAGGGTAGCCACTTCAGTTATGAAACTGCTCTTCCAGCGGGCCCTGCATAACATAATATGTTATTACTACCCTTCTCCAATCTAATATGCTGAGCGCCTAGCTAGAAGGCAGAAGGTCCCATTGTTCTAAGTCTTTGGTATGACTCGGCCGAGGTTCGAACCCACGACCTCCCATTCATGAGGCGGGCGCTCTAACCACTGAGCCACCATACCCTTTTTTGAGTCCCATAGAAAGTAATTCCCAAGTTCGGATCCCAAGGTCATTATCATGTTCGCCAATGTCAATGGATAACGCTCAAGGCTATTTAAATAGCCATTGGTTGATTTTTCAAAAGTAGTTGCTTTCGTGTGAAAATAGTATACATTTGGATGAGAAAATAACATAGCGACCCTTCTAGATCCAACCAACAAAATATTTGATTTTTTGTTGTTGAATATGTGGGAAAAAAACTTCCTAAACTATCAAGATTCCTCCTTTAATCGTGAGTTGAAATCTAAAAACGCGCGCGCACATCCCGCACTGTAGGTGCACTCTCGCATATTTAAAATTTCATGATAATCTTACACTCGCCGTCCAATTGGGAATGAGAATTCGTTGGCCTGTTTTGTACTCCAACTGAGCGTGAGAGGACAAAGAGGAAAGATGCATTCACTTAATGACGATGAATTGATTTCATCCATGTCACTTTATATAAGAAGCCGTCGCTTAGAGCCAGTTTTTACAGAAGCGCGCCAAAATCTCGTCGTGTAAAATCATTCTCGCCTGCTTCGATAAATTATCTAGGCATATCCAATGGAGACGTGCTGATAGAGGCATAGCGCTGTTACACGTAAGTTATTCTTATATACTTTTTATGATGTCATTCTAGTTGCTTATATGTTATTGACGATTTCTGACTTAAAATTGCTGAATGGTTATCATGATTAAATACAATAGATTACATTTACTACAGAGGGTAAAACATGCTTTCCTTGGACTCAATGATTGAATCGGTATTACGAATCTTCAAAATATGTTTTTATCTTCACCAGTCAAAAAAGTGACCAGCGCATGTTTCGTTGCATAAAAGATTATATCACGCAATTAATTAGCTGTACTTATGAATACAGTGGGAAACAGAATATATTTTGAAATTGTATGAAGGCTTTAATAATATCCATATGTATTTATAGAAGTAAAACACACAACAAAGTTTTCAAGATTTCGGTAATAACGGTAATTCGGCTTTTTTTCCATACATGTTAAGGTATACTTTAACAATAAATCTTCTCTCAACATGTAATTCGATTGCTAAGACTTCGAAACAAAGAAATCAGGTTGAAGCAAAATCAAAAGTTTTACTCATTAAATATTCCAAAAAAATTAGGGTATTGAAATTGCCCTTCAGTAGATTTTTTCGAAATTCCTAGCGATCTTGTGATATTGATCTTCTTGGAAGTGTATCCTTTTTGAAGCGTCATCTCTGAATGGGCCTTCATTTATTTGTTTTATATTCCATATTTATGGGTTCAAATTCATTGAGGCCTTACGTTCATAAAGGGTAGTACATCCTGATTTTTTAGATTGTTTTAACAGAAGCAGAACAAATAGAGAGAGAGAGGGATCAGTAAAATTTTGAACAGAATTCGATAAAAAGAATTGAAAAAGGTTACGAATATTTTAAAGTTGCATTCGATTGAACAAGAACTGTTATAAAGTACATGTGTATTTAGAGGGCCACTTCCGTTTGCTTTATACTTAAACTCATATTTTGTTTTCCTTAAAGGAAATTTTACATCATAACTTGCATCTTAGATTAAATCATTAGACATATTTTAAACCGCCCCTGAATGAAACTAGTCTATTCAAACAAATGAAATTGATGAACCGTTCAGAACAGATCAAATGCTACGCCACAGAGATGCCAATTTGGATTCCGTTTATTACAACTTCAACAGTTCATGACATTCTGTAATCGGATTTTTCTCAACCTTTACTTTTCTGTTTCTATCATTTTCTGCTTTTTATTGAAAAGAAAAGAAATTAACGAAAAGATCACAGGGCAATCAAATGGGTCTGTGTAATTAACTAAGTCGTCATAATTGAAGGAGGAATACGAGAACTTCGAGAAGTAAATATTCGTGTTCCTATCATTTTCATCGAACCTTTCCTTTTAAATATTTCCATTTCTTTTACTAACGGATTTCCCCCCATTATTTTTGCACATTTTCGCTAAAGTTCGTAGCATAATGCACATATCCTAGTATGTTGTGTCTTTGGCCATAATTGGTTCAATTTTGTTTCTTAATAGCGATCGTCATTAAAGTGAATTCATTTTGATTAATCTCAGCTGACAGAATATATAACGAATTAATGTCGTCATTGCCACTCAGTTTAGCCCTAACTCTGGTTAAATCGGCATGTGATTGCATGGTATTTGTCGAAAATAAATTTACAAACGTCGAACGTAATTCACCATCAATCAACATGAATTACGAATTGCTTTTTTTAATTTTTATCAAGCGCAAATTTTAGAAAAATCCTGAAGCCCCCACCCCCCCCCCCTTTTTTTTCTCTCTCAAGGGTACGAAAACCTATTGCAACAGTTCCCTCAAATTGCACAACAACTGCGTAATATATTAAAGAGATGATCCAGAAAAGGGCTCTTCGCATAATTCTCTCTGACCAATATTTGAGCTACAGAAGTTCCCTCCAGAAGACTGAGCTTTCAACACTGAGCAAACTAAACAGGGACAAACTATCTTTAAAATATAAAGAAACTTTAAAGATTGATTTCCTGAAGCACAAAACAAACGTCCGACGTAGCAATGAATTGAGAGAGTTCAAATGCAGAACGGAAAGGTTCAGAAACAGTGCTCTGTCTTATCTTGTTAGGTTAATAAATCGTCATCCCGTGTAAATCGTTATTTGACGAAAGACTTACGATTGTTATGATTACACTCAAATTTAAATAGTTATTGCAATGAAATGAATCTCAAATGAATCAGAAATGGACAGTAGAAAAAGTATGCAGGTTGTTTTTTTTGAATTCCTACTGAAACGCTTTAATCTTTAATCTTTAATGTCGTCCTAATTTCCTCCTCCGCCTTTTTCGGGTCTTTTCTAATTAGTAGTCTCGAGTCTTTTTAATCTACTGAACGTTTAGCATAATTAATTTCACATCGGTACTAAGTTTGAATTGAACTACCTGGAGAAGTGTCATTGCTAATTTACTGGATGTTTCTGTTCATATGTATAGTATAATAATGTTTAATACATGTTTATATGTTTATGGTTTGTAAAAGTCATGACGATCTGTACTTTTTTAAGCTGATTAATAGAGGACTCATTACACATGTTTTTCACCTCATCTTTCTTGATATATTCCTCTTACCTTCCCTTCCATTCTATTTCTTTCATTCTATTCTACCCAGGCGCGTACGCAGATTTTTTTTAAGGGGGGGGGGGGGGTTAACATTTATAAATCGGGCTGAAAATTTCGCAACGACTCAGCCAGCCGCTGAATAAGCGGGGGGGGGGGGGGGGGGGGAGGGGGGGGAGAGACACTTCTTTTTTTTTGCTCTCGAAATTTGAAAATTTGACATTTGGCTCCGTTGGTCACCTTTTTAGGTCAGACATGGGAATTTTTTTTTGTGTGTGTGTTTTGTTTTAATAATTTAAAAAAAAAAAAAAAAAATCCAAAGGGGGGGGGGGGGTTAGGGGGGTGATGGGGGTGATGGGGGGGGGGTTACACACATAAAAATACCAAAGGGGGGTTTAACCCCCCCCCCCCCCCCCCCCCTGTGTACGCGCCTGATTCTACCCGTTTATTGATGCTTGCTCCTTGCTCCTATTCCTCATTCATCCCTTCTTTCTTTTCATACTCATTGGATTTTTAAAGAGAGTTTTTATGTCATAGTTCTATAAAGGCTATTGTACTTTTAAATTGTAAAAACATGTACTTTTCAATTGTATTCCAATGGCAATTCAGTCGGACTGCGACGATGGAATTTTCTCAACAAAATCCTTCTACATTTCAACAACTTCTGCAACAGCCAGTCCCTAGAAAACCCACAGGACTGCCTTTGGTATCAAACTCAGGGAATATTCATCCCTCCCCATGTTATTGAATTTCTGGATTCACCATAGTATACCTCGAAAGGGCAGACTTTGGGGAAATTATAATGATTTCAGATCTACTCTCCATACAAAGATGAAAAGTATTACAAAGGGTGCAAATACGTTAATGTCTTTTTTTCTACCCTCAACAACAGGTGTATTTTGATATACAGGGTTAAAGTTAATAGTCAACTTTAATTTTAAAAAAGCTGAACTTGGCGATACGACAAATGAGTGAGTCTGTTTGACACTGTTCATTCTCTTGTAGGGATCGGAAAGGCTGTAGGTGAATCGTCTCTGGAAGTTGCGATGTTTTACAGCCCTCAATTAGAAGGATTATTATACATCATTGATATTATCTAATCCGGCTTTAAAACTCTTATAAAGCTCGTATGAATAAAATGCACAAATATAGTATCCTATAATCCATTTAATTATGGAAGCAAGTATTAGAAGGGCTAAGTGGGGATGTAGTAGGTGATACATGAATAAGTGATAACACATGATAACTTATAACGTGGGCATCAGGTTTGGCAGCCATTGTCACTGACAGAGTGCAGTTGAAGGGATGAATCCTACTGTTCGACGCTTCAGCTTAGTTCGAGAGAAAGAAAGAGAGGGGTCATGCCGGGTCTTTCGTCTTACTTTGAGCAAAAATGTAAATAATTGTTGCAGTTACTCTGCAAGCAAAGATCTTCGATTTTCTCATGTTTCGTTGTTTCGTCGGACATTTAAAGCAAGTACCAGCAAACAAGACGAATAACCCAACTTTAAAAAAATGCACCTCTGGGGTGTGGGTTTTGTACACGCCAGCAGAAATTTCACCCATTTTTGCAATGTAAATCGAAAAATCGGTACAATGCCGATTTTTCGTCACGAAATACTCCTCACTTCTGTGCGATCGCACACAGAGTAGCGACAAGTCGCTCATGCGCACTACTCACCAACCTATCGATATGAGCAAACACCGACAGGTTTCTTTCCAGTTTTGTAAATGGCAGTCCCCAAAATCAACAATTTGTATAAATGGTGTTTGAGATATGTTAATGATCCTGTGGTGCAACATTTATTTTGGCACTGGCCTTTGGTTTCAAGATTAAGTACGATATGAAAAATTAAATACCAGACAAAATTTGTCTTAAAACATGCATCCGAACCCAACATACATGTACCTAAGCGTTATGTAACTTCAAAAATCCTTCTTTTAAAAGACCATGACAAAATATTGGCTTGCTATTTCTGAAGTTGCTCATGTTAACCCATGTGTGTTCCGTTGTTTCCTTTAGAGACCCTGGTGATAGATCAACTGAGTTCCCTGAAATGTCAGATTATTTGCTCCATTTTTAAACTTTAGAGACCCTAGTAATAGGTCAAATAATTTCTAAGATATGTAATATTGTGAAATATACCCCATTACATTTTATCCTATCAGGAAGGCTTATAATAGTCTGGGCCCTGATGTGAATCTGAGGACAACCACAAAATCTCTTTTCCTAATCTCTTTTCCTACCACACATTGACATTTTCTGAAATTAGGGTCTTCTTTTAAACGCTAATCTGGTATCGCTTAATCTTAATCTACGGATCAAACTTGTCCATCAAAATTCTCAGGCATAGCAGTTTAATGCATTTGTAATTAATCGGAAAACGTGTTGGAAAAAAGAATTACACCAAAATGGCAGACATATTGACACCGAGATCAAAATGTCGGGCTTATAAAATTGTCTATTCGTCACATATGCAAAATGTAAAGCTTTGCAGATGCCTCAATTGTGTCAATTTTTTGCTGAAATATTAGATGAAATGCAGTGGAAAAGGTTGTTGCAATGAAGGCTATCAGACATGTAAAACGAATAATCTGCAGAGAAAAATACCACCACAAATAAATCTTGTTTATATGTCACGCTATTAAACACACGAACCGCGTGTTGATAAATTGAACTGTCAAGGAAAATATAATAGCACGTAGGAGAAATACTTAAGTCCAGGGACGTGATAGAGAAGGACTGGAATCAAGCCGCTCTCCTTTGACCCCATGCGCTAATCTTCAACTGTTGACCAGGTGGTGAGATAAGAGAGCGCATGACATTTCAGGATTTAGAATTCCTACATCAGAAAATGGTATCACAGCAACTGTTCGCTGTCCCTTCCAATGATTTCTCATCCATTGTTGAATGTGTAAAGAGTAGAACAAGCGAACACAAACTTGTGTAATTTCATCCTTTTTTAAACTTGAAAAATACAAAAAAACACGCGAAAACACGCATTAGCAAACTTAATGTTATTGAAGATTGTAAATCATGGATCAAATAACGGGACATTAAAGCATGCACAAATTAGCGCATCATCCTAAAATATTGAGTTTTTGACAAGATGTAATTTTTCTTTTACCAACTCTGGCACACAAATGAAAGGAAGGATGAAGTTCTAAATTTGAAAATTTGTTTGATGTACTATTCCCAATAAAATCCCCATATAAAGTTTTTGATTTACACTAAAATTTTGCCGGTAATTTAATATTTTGTAATAAATGTAAAACTGGTGCCAGGCTTCCGAAAGTCTTCGCAGTGGATGCGCGGTTCGGAGCATGGAACTTCAAAGCCAAGTGGAATGTTACACATCCCATTGTTATGCTTTAGAACTCAAGAATGCGTTTGAATAAATTACAAGAGTTTCGTCTCCTTTTCTTCCACCTCCCTGTTAAGTCATACGTGGGCACAAACCTTTTGGCAGACTGCCAACTGGACATTGTTGAGCGATATTTGATTTGAGTTCACCTCGCCTTTTTATTCTCAACAGTACTTCTGAGCAAAAGAGAAGAGTTCTAAGTAAATCTGCTTATGCAATTAAGTATCTGACACACATTTATAGCATACTGTGCTTTGTGGACTTGGATGTGTTGTATAATAAACACATACCCAAAAAATATTAAACAAACCTGGGTAAAATTTATCCAATGTTTGGGGATTTTTTAAAGAAAAGAAGAAGGAAGATACACGTATTTTGAATATTAAAGATAAACTTTAGTACTGGTAATGCGATTGCATTGTGAAAGAAAAGGTGTGGAAAGGATCAGAAACAGTTGGTCATGTAGCATGTAAGTATTGGTGTGCACTGCAAGGTTCTGGAGTCATCGAAATCATAATAAATTTGACCGAGTCTTGGTAAAGTAACAAGCACTGTACACAGAAAGTTATATATGGGACAACACACATGGTGTTGGGGCTAGTACTACCTTGATTTCCTTGTCTTTCTATGCTCATTACTCAGCCAGGATACATTTTCTTCCAAAATTGTTTGGCACATGTCATTTATTTGTAATTTTGAACATTCAGTGTAAGTTTCGTTTGATTCTGTGAGAATTTTTTTTTTTTTTACCAGAACTGGAGTTTATCTTTAAACATATAAGGTACCTTAAGTGTATACTTCCATTCAGAGTAGCAATGACCCTTTTTTAAAGGGGGTTAACATTTAATAGTTATACTTAAACATTCCGCATTATTAGCACCCCGTATTTTTTGCTTTCGCATTGTTGATTAAAATTGGAAACTCAATTAAACAACCTCGGCCAAACCAAAAGTTCATAGGGACAGTGTCGCTCTATACAGTGCGTCCCAGAAAAAAAAAGAAACACGAAAACAAACGGTAATTGTGAATAAACTATTTTTGTTCTCCAAAATGATAAATGATAACGTGGGCATCATGTTTGGCAACCATTGTCACTACAGAGTGCAATTGAAGGAATGAGTCGGGTTTCATTTTGTTTTTGTTTTTGCGACGCACTGTTTCCAAAAGATTAATTACTCTAAATTTGCTTTGAAGGTTGCATTTATTTATCTCCAGAGGCAAATTTGCCAATATCAGGTTACCTATATTGACAGTACTTACAACGTCTACGCGTTTCCGGTTGTTTCCAAACACGAATATTAGAACTATTGATAATGATGCAGATGGTGAAATAGTTCATCCAAACGCTATTGGCGATATGGAGATATAATGACTTGTTGTTCGATTCTTGTTTCATTCTTTGCCCTCTAGGTGCACAAAATGGGAGACTGGGGACTGTCTCTACTGCTCATCCTCTCGACAGTAGTTTACGAGATATCCGCTGTTCACAATAAACCTTACCCCTGGCAAAGCAGGCACGGGTTTCTCTCAAACAACGACCTTTACCCACCCACTCCGCTCCGGAGGAGACCACCAACGTCCGGAACCGTCAGTAATCCGTTCAGTATTCAGAGTAATTCAAGACAGAAAACTGCAAAGACACCATTCCAACCATTCCAGTCTGAACAATTGAATCCTATTCAACGCTGTGTCAAGAGAGCGAATGACCACACCTCACCATCAAGTATCCGTGACTTGATTTTGAGTATTGGTAAAGACGTGGTAAAACGGCAATCTTTTGCAGGGGCTAATCTTTATCACCAGCGTGGCCTTAGACGCTTTACAAGATCGCAGGTAAACCCTCAAGTTATAATCATTTTTATCAGGAACACGGTAGCAATTACTTTCGAAAAATTAACCTAAAGAAATGTCAATTTACCTATTTACCAATTTACGTATATGTAATCCAAATATGATTTCTATGGGACATACAATAGGGTATTGAATATGCCCTTGACTTGATTTTGTGTAAACAAATGCGATCGTGTCCAGGGTCAAATTTTATTGACAAAGGGCTATGCTTTACAGATGAAACCTTTGTATGTTGAAGATGTTTCAAACAATTTGGAAACTGATGCTTGCTGTTTACTGTGGGTACGGAATGAAATGGATAGGTTTTGTACTAGGATCGATTGCCTTTAAAGAGAATTGAAAGTCACACCTACGTTACACCTATTGTATATAATTATAATTTAAAGATAAATGTTCACAATACATGTTTGTATTCTTTGATATTTTACAACTACAATACATAAACTATCAATCATCAATAACGAGAGCTGAAGATATCGTGACATCGTGTTATCATGATACAATACCCATCGATTATGTTAAACATTTAACCCCTCGATCCTTACTTTCTGCCGACTCATCTATTGCTTTATTGTCTCTTTCTCTTTTTCTTTTGCAGGTACATGAAACTCATTTTCTACTGCCATTTATTACAAAGATCGGTTCGCATTTCGGTGATTACCTGCGTAAGGTTCTGGGATGTCAAGCCGAACATAGAACTTACATAGCCCAACCCAGAAGTTCCAGGTTATCCGCTCTATCCGTAGACCCAGTACATTCAATATCATCATCATCATCTAACGAGCAGCCTCAGCCCCATCCATCTTTTATCTTTGAAAGATCTGCTCCTCAGAGCCCACGTATCCCACTCCTGCCGCCACCAAAACACATCCAGAAACCATTATCACAAGGAGCTCGGGCGCCCATCTATTCAAGGCCGCAACACATTCAACCGATTGAACAATACGACGCGTCCACTTCGGAATCTTTCCCAAAATTGTCGGTATCACCATCCAGGCCGATACAGAGATCATTCCACGTCGATAATCCGTCAAGTCCAGGGTTTGAAGATATCCCGAATCCCGACGGAACCAGTAGCATAACACAGTCATCCAGGTCCGATAGTTCTGCGCCACAGCCTTTTGAAGAATTGCTTTTCTCCCCACCACCTGTAGACATGAGTGGTTTGCCGCCTCCAGTCTTTGCCGGTAGTGATTCGTCTACTTCTGCTCTACCCGATATTGTCCAAGCAATTTCAGTAAGTAATGGCTGGTCACTTGTACAATGTATGAATTTAAGTTTATGACTTTGGTATGGACAATCCTATGAAAGTATTACATCTAAATATCTGGATTTGAAGTAATTAAATTGTATAGACATCACACATTATATATATATTGAATTTAGAATTCGGCTCTTTTAACAGTACAATAGGGTTAGCAAACGTATCGCACCATCCAAATGTATGTTGTTTTTTGTTTTTTTTCAGATTTTCGTTTTCTATTTCTATTAGGGGATGTTATTTTGAAATCACTGTAAACCTTTTCAATCAGTGCATGAATTAATTGATATTTTCAAATGCACACAGTGACTTGTTGGAACGTGATTAAAGCAAGCTACCCTTATTGTTTTGTATCTATTTTTGATGGTGTAAATGTGGAAAAAAAACTTCGAATTTTAAAATTCAAACTTCAAACATTTTTATAATTTTTTTTCGAAGAAAGTAATTTCTTTCCTTATAATTTATGCATGCTAGGATTCATCTACGCGGTTTACACCCGCCGATCCGTCGATCACATTTACGGCACCCGGTCTCCAGCCGCACCGAATGACCGAGATATCCCTGCTCCCTACAACCATTGACCCGACCGGGTCACCGCCACCACCGCCATCTAGCCCTTTCACAACGTTCAGCCTTACGAGCCATCCGTCGCACACCTCACTTCCGCCCTCATTGACGACTTCATCAATGACATCTACATCTCGACTTTCACCGAGCAGTCAGCCGGGGCAATCTCAGGGCTCGTTGTATTTTGGACCCCCAAGGGTTAGTGGTTTTCTTTAGATATTTCTACCAAGACAATCGAAAAGACTTTCGAGAATCCACTCAAAGATTTTGACAAGACGATTTAAAATTTCCTATTGCATATATCACAGACCGTATCCAGATAACCACCCCCTAGGATAACTACCCCCTAGGGCAACAACCCTTTAGGACGACTACCTCGTAGGACGACTACCCCCGGACAACTACCCCTAGACAACTACTCCTTAGGACAACCAACTACATACAAACAACCACCCTCCCAGACAACCACCCTCCAGGACAACAACCCTACGGAAAACTGCCCCGGACAACTAACCCCAGACAACTACCCCTAGGATAGTTGTCCGGTGGGTTGTTATCCTACAGGGTCGTTGTCGTATGGGAAGATGTCCTAGAGGGTAGTTATCGTAGGGGTGGTTATCCGGAGGGTGGTTGTCCAGGGGGTAGGTGTCCTAGAACCGCCACAGACATCGTGTTCGGAAAGGGCTATTTAAATTGTATTAGGTGATTTGTCGCAAGCCTTTAAATCGAGCTTATCTATTTTACTTCATAGCACATTGCATTGTGTAAGACTCTTGGCATATTGAGGGAATTGCATTTCTTTGAGAGATATTGTTCTCGTTTCCTGATCATTATAATTTATTACCCATTCGTCATCTAAAATATTTTTTAAAATTCTTTAAAGCAACTTCACCTACGTCGTGGTATACTCTTTCTTCGAGGAATCACATGTAGCCCGGATCGCGATTCTGTACAGTCTTTCAAAAGTAATCCCCCAAAAAATCAACTTGTGTAAGAGATCAATGAACACATGAAAACAAAATCTGATTCATGTGGATAAAATTGTATGGCAAACAAATTTTAGTTATGATTGAGTGTACGCTTGCAAAATGAATGAACTGATATTGACACTCAATATCATATCCATTATCTTTAAATTCTCGCACGTATCCACAGATTTTGCTGAGATTGATAAGTATCGTAAATTTGAAGACTACTCGTACTAATTAGGAGTTCTATTACACAGGAAACGATTTATCCGAGTTCGGTTTCCTGACATCAACACCGGACATTATACTATACGTACCCCTTACCCCAGACGTAACCTGCAACCCAATCGTACCCGTGACTCTTAACCAACGTTTAACACGATAGAAAAGACTCTCAGGAAATCAAGTCAAGGACAATTTCAATACCTTAATGTCTTTTCGATAGAGATCATGTTCATGTTACCCTTTTTCATTTTAATGTTCATACATTAGAGGCTCGTTTACATATGACGTCGCAAAACCGCAGCGGTTTTATAAATTGTATTATTATGACGTAAACCGTAATACGCTCCACCTTTCTGTATCCATACAACACTTACATGACAGAAAGAAGTTCAATGAGTCGTGCGCAGTTAGGTCACCATACATTAACACGTTAAACAAAGAATCGCGGCAGCTTTTTTTTTGGCGGTTTACAGCCCACATCTGAAGAAGCATAAACATCTTATGGAAACAAATCACGAAAAAGGCTATTGAAATTGCCGAAAGTTCCAATCTAGATTTTCTTTTGCCATCGTGTTATGCTTTCACTAATAAAACAATGAGCAAATGCCACCGGAACATAATATCGGATCACGTAATTCTTGTTTTTTTATTGTATATTTATTAGTCGGACGTCAAAGTGTTGGTGGAGGCCAATGGTGTTTTGAGGCAGTGGCGTATAGCAGTCCCTCCCATGTTTGGTATCATCGACCTCCTGAGGTACCTGGCCCGTGAGCAGGCAGAACCGATCAACCTGTCCACTCTGGATCCTCACTGCTTCGTGTTAACCCGCATGCTCGGTCTGCGGATCAACAGTTCCCATGTTTGGACCGTCTCTGTGATCACCTTCAAACAGGAGGTAAAAACTATTAAGGTTTCATTTCATTTCATTTCATTTCATTTCATTTCATTTATTCATTTCACTCTCTTTTTAAAAAAACATAAAAAGTATAGACATGTTTGTTCATTTAAAGAAAAACATCAAAAGTATGTACATGTTTGTTCATTATCAACATAAGATAAAGGGAAATGAGGAATCATGAAAGCCAAAATTGGCTCGATGAGAATGATCCCCAAATAAATAATCAGCATAAAAAAGATACAAACTTATTTTCATTAAAACATCGTACATACATTCATAACAACAGAGGAAAGTGGGAAAAAAGATTACATGAGGTAAAGACAGTTACAGGAAGATAAGATGAGAGAGAGAAGATAAAAACAAGGAAGTTACAATTTGAATTTTACGTTCGCATCTATTATTGGATAAAAATCATCTCAAGGGAAATTTCAATACCCTGTTTCATTTCCGATAGAAATCATGTTTGGTATACGAAATACGTCTCATTAATCTATTCTTTTTGCCCACGTCCATGTATAATACACAATCAGCCAGCAGTAATACACTTAGCATATATGCTCCCTCGAACTAGTAAACAAACAGGTCATAGAGCTATAACTCCTTAACCCCTGTACTAAAGAATTACCATACTCTCACCGCTTTCAAAAGGCGTGAAACACATCGAATTTGTTGTAATGTCCCTATCTGTTTGTTATTTTATGAAAGCCTTGTATCATTATTGTCTCTCTGTTCGTTTGTAAGTATTTCTTGTTTATGCGCTTTGTAGCTAATGAAAAGACGCTTTATGCATGTAATATTGTTACTATTGTTACGTCATCTTAATGTTCATACCTTTCAATAGGTGACACACAAGGCCATTGACATTACCATATGTTGATTTTTGTTTCGAAAGTAGATGCTATCGTGCTGATTAGATAAGATGCAGAGATTCGTCCACTAGCGCGAAATGCTTAATCTTAAAAGAGGTTGAACCATATCAAATCAATTTAATTAAATTCAATTTAATTCTTCTTTAGAATCCATGGCTCATAAGTAGGATATTTTGTTTTGTTTGCATGCGTACATATACAATAAATACATCTACCTTGATAACAATTTTTTATTATAACAAATATCATCAAGATAATTATGTAACTTAAACCCTTTTTCTCCCCGGACAGCACCAGCTATTTCATTTTTTACATTCCGGATTCGTCTTTTATTTTTGTGCCACTCCATTTCTCTAACTACCTATAACAAAATTCTTTGGAATTAGGTGAAGGGATATATATTGTCTCTTTGTAAAAGAGGTAGTTGATTTTGTTTTGTTACACGAGATAGGAATTACTTCACACACGATCTTGTGCAAAGAGCTAAGTTGTCTCTATGAATTCAGGTAATTTCATCTTCAAACACTGGTTGATTTATATCCTGATAAGGGGACTGACCGGATCGCCTTTATACCTGACACTCACTAGTTTTCTTTAGGGCAGACAGATATCTTTCGAGGACAATGAAACGTCTCTTTTTAACGAGAGAAGTCATTCTCAAATGGCCATTAACGAAATAGAGCAGTATCGTATGGGCATCCATTGTGAAGCGTTTTATTTCAAGGAAAAGTTATCAAATAAAGATTCATGATGCTGTCTCCCCAATTGTTTGCCCTAAAATTAATAATAATCGCGAAGTGGGAATTTTTGTTAAAAGGAGATGTAACGCGTTATAAGGTGTTCAATCTTATATCAATAGGAAACGGTCGGTTTCAATAAACTAATTCCCGTAAATAAATGAAATGTCATGTCCTGAAAATGAAATTGTTTTGCGAAGCCTTGTGATTCGCATAGCCACATTCAAACTAAAAACATATCAATCACATTACTTTTTACTTTCTCTCTTTTTTTGTTTAGGTAATTTTCCAAGATCGCTGCCTGCCGTCTTCGAATCTGTATATTCTGCCTGGATACACGCTTGTCTTTCGCTACACCCAGACGTAGCTGTCTGATATTTTATGAATGATAACGACTCATACAAGAGCCGAAGAAAACGGGTATTGATATACGGTAGACAGTATAGACTGAAGGTTCCTTGTTTTAGTGTGGAATAGTATTTAGGCCAAAATACAAACGAGAGATGCAATTATTAAAATATTATAGAAGCAGTAATAGGTGTACCTTTTCGTCGTAGTTAATAGCGTACATACAGAACTGAATTAGCATTGTATTTTAATGAAGGTGCTATTCCAAATGTTGAAAATAAAATAAAATACATGTACATTATGAGAGAAAGAAGTAGAAAAGTTGATGGTAAGGAGTATGGGTAGCAAAAGTGGCATGCTACTGCTGCACGATAATTCATCCACATAGGCCTATAATGATACCTAAGAATGTAAGGATGTTCAATTCACTGTATGGAATGAACTTTTATCACTCTCAAGAAACATACATTTCCCGTTTTTAGTCATCGATCATTGTTTCAAGACTTTCAGAGATTCTTTTTCTTCTTAATATTCCAAGCCGAATCGATCAGAAGTTGAAATATTTGTATGGCCGTGTCAAAAGGTTCAAGCGAAAATGGAATTGTAAACGTTTATTGAGTTCCCGACATTATTCAATTAGTGTTATTTATCAAGTTTATATGTTTCAATGTAAGTGTTGACATTTCCTTCGAATTGAGGGACTTCGGGCGTTTATAATAAGATTTGATTCTATTCACATGTAAATATAACACATAAATGTTTTCATCTCTTTATCTCTTTTTTCTTTTCTGAACAAAAAGATTATGTACTCTGATAAGCGTAAAAGAAACAGGAATGAAAGGAAAATAAAAAAATGAAAATCTGAGAAGTGATCTGAAGGTGAGAAAATTGTTTATTCACCCACTATATTATTTCATTTTGCCCCCGCTATTCTTATTGTATGAGGGGATGGTTGTAATTAAAATTAGCGTTGCAAATTTGGAAATAAATAGAATAATGCAGATGTTTCTCCTAATACCTCCTCCGTGGCCTCTTTCTTGCGTTTTGTTTCGTTCTTGCCAGTAAGCCTTATCACTATTAACCTCTCAATATACCACAGCTAATGTATAGTACTAAATTAAATGTAAATAAACCAATTGTTAGCACAGAAATTCACCTTGATGTATTGTATTGTATTTTTTTGTTTATTCATCGAACATTTAGCTAGAAGCAGAGTTCAAGTTACAAAGTAAAAAGTTAATGACATGAAAGTATATTGATTGTATATTAAAATGTATTTAAACGGAACAGGTATTGTGTATATTAACAAGATCCATATTTAATAAAAAAAAATTGCCCTTGTTCTGAGAAAAACAGAAACTGATACTACCCATGTTTATTGCAACAATGACGAAGTAGGTGTTGCACACAATGACTGATAGAGATTGTGATTTGTACAACTAGACACGAATGTTCTTGGTTTAAAGAAAAGCTTGAGTTCTGGTAATGATAGAACATATATTCTCACAAAATAAGAACAAAACCTACACTTAATTTTCAAGATTCTAATAAATGACATGTGCCGAACGATTTTACTATAAAATGTATAGGGGCTGGGTAATGAGCATAGAGAGATAAGGAAATCAAGGCGAGTAGGCCCGACACAATGTGCTTTATAACACTGGTCACTATGTGCAAATAAGAGTTGGGGATTTTATTGAAGATGATTTCCAGCAAGTTGGTGTGAGGTTGTTTTTATTTTACTGGTTCAAACAATCAATCTACTACAGGATAAACAATCCAGAACGAATTATAGCCATGTTTTCTCGACATATGATGCCCATACCAGAGCTTAAGTTCAGCTTTAAAACAACGTAGGAAGCAATAGAGCCAAAAATTGCACACTCAAATAAAAGGAAATTGTCAAAATAATCATGAAGGCTTTATTGCACGAGGAAATAATTGCTTCATAAATTAATTCAAATAACAACCAAGTAACATTTCCAGTCTTGATTGTTGCAACCTAGACAGAATTGATGAGGCTTTTAAAATATTTTTGCTTACGATCAGTTATCGTTTTGATTACGATGTACTGGTGATTTTGTAGAGATAATGGGAATTTAAACAGGAACGAGTTTTCACCGCACGGTTTTTTACAGTATGCCGTTGCTGTTATTAGATATTAACGACAGACATATAGGTTATCGGGAAAGCAGAGGGTGCATTTATTTCAACTAAGACTTGTGAGGGCAGTATGAAGAATGATTTAACTGCACAAATAAAGTCGAGCAAACCTCATTCATCTTGTCATCTGTGTGTTGTGCCGAACGTTGTATTTCTTCTCGAGATATATTGTTTCCCATTTGTTAATTGATAATGTAATCTGATATTGTACTTTTTCGCTATTTATAAAGCAAATGTGTGAGGTAGTTGGATGCGATCACTTCAATCAAATTAAAATGTAGATACACAAGTCATGATCGACAAAGACAACAAAGATGACACATACTTATATAAGGAGATAAACTATGTCGCGGCTACAAACAAAAAACGCATTGTTGAACATATCTTCAATAAAAGTAATACACACATCATGTACAGTAAAAGGAAATAAAAACATGAATGCGTTAAACACATAATAATGTTTAATAACTCATACTTTTAAGGTCATATCGATAAAAACTGTATATTTAATACAATTAAACAAATAAAACTGACATGCTTTAACTATGCATACAAGGTCTTAAAATAATTAGATCCTCCTCTCTACTTTTACTTCTGGGAATGGAATTGAAGACGATTTCCTTTCTTTTCTTTGTTTTTCTTTTTTTGTAATAAATGTAATGCTTCCTCTCTATCTCTCTTTTGTTTGTATTTTTGTGTTGGGGGAGGGGGCGGATCCAGACAAGATCCAGCAGACGAATTTCATCATAAGAACTAAGATGCACTTTGTTGTTTAGCATTATCAAATCATACACACGGCGAAAGCGGATCCATGACTGAAACAGGAGAACCGCGCACCTCCCTCGCGCAGAATTTGTATGTGCATATTTATTGAAGTTCGCCGCAAAAAATTGAAGTGGCATACGCTATACTCTGTTACAGGCCAGGTTTGTGCGTAATTAATTCTTAAAAATGCATAGATTAGGTCATTTTCCTTAATCCCTTCTGAGGAGGGCAGTGACGCGTTTAGTATTCGAACGACGAATTGAATAAAGTGTTTCATCTTAAAAGTGGGTTGGGTATTAATAACAATCTGGAAAAAAAAGCATAGCAAGCCTATACACTGCAAAAACAGTGGTGTTAAATTCAACACCATAGGTGTTAATATTAACACCATTCCGGTATCTATATCGGAAAACACCAGTTGGTGTTATTTAACACCAAGGTCTGGATTTGAATGATTCAATTCTACTCTTGGTGTTGCAATTCAATTCTATTTTTGGTGTTAATATAAAATCCTACACCATTTTCTGGTGTAACAATGAATCTGATTTCTGGTGTTATTTAACACCACCGCCTGGAATGAAATAATTTTAATTCTACTCTTGGTGTTGCACTTCAATTCTATTGTTGGTGTTATTTTACACCAATTCTAGAATTAAATAGTATAATTCTGCTCTTGGTGTTGCAATCCAATTCTATTTATGGTGTTAATATAAAATCCAGCACCATTCTTCGGTGTTGCAATAAATCCTATTTTTGGTGTTATATAACACTAAAGGTCTACTACTTTTCTACTCTTGGTATTGCAATTCAATGCTAGTCTCAGTGTTTAAAAAACTCAACACACCATTCTTTCAACACCAACAATTCATTCCAGCTCACTCCATCTTAACACATGCACAGAAAATATTCAAATACACACAAGAAGTGAAAAGAAACAATTTTTTTTCGTAAACAAAAACACATGGTGCTTGTTTAATCAATAAATTAAACAACTTGTTTTCATTCATGTTGAAATCAATGATGCTTAGCGTTTTTATCTTGTATGGTTCAACATTAAATCCTTTTGTCATGTATTCAAAATCTGTGACTCATTTGTCTGAATACAACAAAACACACTTTTTTAAATCATTCAAAATCTGTTATTATGAATCCACCCTTATAAGTAAAAAAAAAAGGATGAAACAAGTAACTAAAAATCATTCAAAATCTGTTATTATGAATCCACCCTTATAAGTAAAAAAAAAAGAAGGATGAAACAAGTAACTAAAAATTTTCCAATATAAAAACTTTAAACAATGTCATAATTCCTTTCAAGGAATGAAAAATCAAAGTCGTTTCTAATAAATAGAAACTAAACAGGATGCAAAATGCATGTATAAATGAAGACAAAACAAAAAAAAAAACAAACATTATGCTTCTACATCAGAGTGAATTATGTAGCTAATAAGAATTTTGACACATTTCACCTTGAATCCTAGTACATGCATGCTGAAGGAAAATATCACAGAATCTTTTTCATATGAAATATACAGAGTGCCCCCCCCCCCCCAAAAAAAAACCTTGGAAACTGCTAGTATAATCTGCAGGCAGACTCTCGGCTTCGGTTTTTCGCAAGTTTCGTAGTGCATATTTCAGAGTCTGCAGTCAGAGACTACTTTCACTCATATCATGATCCCTTAAAGGGAGCATAACTGTATGTGTATATGTAGTCTCTAAATGCAGACTCTACATCGTGCACTATGCAAATTGCAAAACCGAAGCCAATGGTCTGTGCCCGCAGACTAATTATAGTATGACTTTAATTTCTTATGCTAGAACAATAGCAACACTAACAAATCTCATCCAGCAGTTTTGTTGAACAAGATTTTTTTACCACAGGCCTGCAACCATTGAGATTCAGGATGATTTAATTATTTCAGGGGATTTTTATCTCCTAGCTTCACTGCTTGTAAAGGGTTAAACAAATGTTTCAAAAACATTGAAAAAACACTATAAATTCTACATTCATTCTAATATAGGTGAACATTCTTTTACAGCTTTCTGTTTACAAACATATTCCATTTTACATCGTGCACTATGCAAATTGCAAAACCGAAGCCAATGGTCTGTGCTCGCAGACTAATTATAGTAAGGCTTTTTAATGTCTTATGCTAGGAAGCAGCCTTCAAGAACAATAGCAAAACTAACAAATCTTATCCAGCAGTTTTGTTTAACAAGATTTTTTTTTACCACAGGCCTGCAACCATTGAGATTCAGGATGATTTAATTATTTCAGGGGATTTTTATCTCCTTCACTGCTTGTAAAGGGTTAAACAAATGTTTCAAAAACATTAAAAAAACACTATAAATTCCACATTCATTCTAATATAGGTGAACATTCTTTTACAGCTTTCTGTTTACAAACATGTATTTCCCATTTTACTCCTGGGAGAAAAAATCAAAAAGTAAAATTATGCATTTCTATATCAACTAATTCGCTGCTCGTTTTTCCAACAGGATATAAACAACAACAACAAAAATCAGTCCATGCACTTCTAGTTCACTGGCTTTCATGCACAAACATCATAGAATTGTTTTTCTTGTAAGAAAAAAAAAGAAAATATACAACAGCTATTTGACTTCAATTTGGTTTCGAATTAACCAATTTAAAGATGTTAACAATTAAGAGTCCAAAATATTATTGATCAAAATTATTTTTAAAACCAATTGATACCACTAAGCAAAACCAGACATTAGCTTGAAAGCTTTAAATTACTTAAAAAGTACATGCCTTGGTGCTACATACTTCCTCGAGTCTGTCTTCGACAAAGTTGTCATCAAATCTAGTGGTTTGTAGTCAACAAGTTCCTTTTGATTCTTCACTACATGACAACGTGGAAAACTAAATTCTACTGCATAGGCATGATAGTGTGAATTGTAATACACTGTATCTAATTGGACAAGTACAAAAAATACAGTGCTATTGTGTACAATGATATGCTCTATTTGACCAAACAGAGGAAGCTCGCTAACATCATGGCAGACCAGAAGTGACAACTGATAATGTGTTCCATGTACTTTAACCCAGTTGGCATATCAAATAATTCAGTAGAAAGATCCTCTACTTGGATTTGCTCTTGCACAATCTGTCCAATATTTTCATCTAAATCTGACAAAAGTAGTGAACTACCTGGCCCAACCTCCAGATATTCCAAAGGATGGTTTGACTGAAGATGGAACGTTAGTGCTGTCTGATGTTTTTTGGCAAGTGATTTACAAATGTTTTTGTAATTACGCACAGATTCTGCAACACGGCCAAAATAGTGATGTTTCGCTTCGTACCTCATACACCATACATGTATGAGTGGCCCAACTTCTCTCAAACACGTTGGATAATGCACCATAAAGTGGTGTTTTGGCAACAACCTTCTGTCAGGAAAGGTTTTCTGGAAATGTGTGTGATGTTCTTCAGTAAGAATAGACAATTGGGCTATCAAGCCTGCTGTCAATTGAGGAGCAAAAATAATGTCCATACAATCTAGTAATCTAAGTAGCAATTCCCAGTAGACATTTCCTTCTTCAATGTCTTGAGCAATTATGAATGGCAGATTTCGAATCAAGCACCATGCTTGCATAGCCTTCTGTCCAACATCATTCCTAGCTGACCTAAGTTTAATAAAGGATGGTTTGTTCTTGTTATCTGTACGGTTTAAGCAATGGCTGGCGACTCTCTGATTCAGTTCATCTTGGGACAAGAGGGGCGGTTGCCTTTCATATATGAAATACTCTAGAACAAGTTTCAGCTCATACTGAACTATGCCTTCCAAAAGATCATGCATTATATCTAGTGAAAAGTTTGCCAAGACATGAAAGTAAATACAATCATTCAATACAGTCTTTTGTTTCACTCCAAACACATGTGACTGGGTAGTTTGAGCTTCAGCTTCTTCTAAATGTTGCTCATAAGTCTGCCTGGTGCGCATATCCATTGAAACCTCTTTGAATTTGTTCTGTGCCTCTTCCTTACTTGTAACACATAATCGACAGTAATAATGAGCAGAAAAGCTCTCTACAAATCCCAGTAGGGAATTAGCACCAAGATTATCAGCACTTATTTGAGTAATGGTCCCCTTCTTCACAATTCCATTAGGGAGAGCAATGCCAACTGTTGACAGGATATTAATGTCTTTTACAATGTGCTTGAGAATAGCATTAAATCCATATTTCTTGGCATCTTCAGCATACCATAGAGCTATAAGATTGATATTGGAAAGATTGGAATTATACTTTGGTGGCAGATTTTTCAAAATGAAATATAAAGCACCTATCTTGTGAATTTTTGTTTTTGAACCAATGGGGTTCACAGTCTCGAAATCATCATAAAAACAGTGAATTTGGAGGGCATTCTCATCTTCATGGAAAAGAGGGGTTTTCTCAAATTGTGAACCATCACAATAATCTCTCATTACACCATCTGTGCTCTTATGGTCATGAGTAGCAAAATGCAATATATCTTTATTGCTTAAAAGCTGCTTCAAAGAATCTAAAATGGGAACGTAAACAAATGTATCTTCAATAGCAATCTGTTCATACTGCTTAGTTCTTTTATTGAGACGACTATCATATCGGATGCCTAACTTGATTTCTTGTGGTTCAACAAGTCCAATTGATTCACAATACTTTGTCCGCTTATATTCTGAATTCAAATTTTCAAAGGGCTTTTCAAGCATAGCAAAATGTGTTTGAATCTCCTTATAAGCCTCGGATTCTATAGGCAGCTTATGTTTTAAGAAAGCAGCTGTAACGGCTGCCGATGCACTTTTTACTACATCACCTACAATCGCACTGGTTGTTTCTACTACATCATTTACAACTTTTCCAGAGTTTGCACTATTTGCTGAAAATTTTGAAATTACATTTACACACTGCCTGTTCAAGGTATCTACAGATAAAATGTCATCTTCATATACATCCTGATCTTCAACAATCTCATCATTATTAATATTGTATTCTTGAAGACTTTCAAGACTTTCTTCAGGAAAGTCACTCACTTTATCATTTTCATTAGACTGCTCTTTATTATCTGGAAAATCGGTTTTAAGGTGAGTCTGCAAATGTCCCCGAAATCCTCGAAAAGTATGAAATGTTCTCGCACAAGCTCCCTGCCCACAGGTCAATACTTCTTTACCATCTTCAATAACTCCATGTTTCAATCTCAAATGTTGAACCAATTTGGGTATTGCAAACTGTTTGTGGCATTTGAAGCAAATCATGGTGCTAACAATTTCGATCTAATTTCACGTACTCTTGGTGTTTCCCGGGACACTCCGATATCGATTTCAAAAATGGCAGTCTGGACAAAAGTCCAGAACTGCCGCAGAGACAAGCAGTACTGCAGGCCAAAGACAAAGTGGGTCTTGAAGAGTAAATCTACTGCTGCTTCGACCGTGCGTGCCGAACATGGAATGGCCTTGTGATCCACAATGATCATGTAGTTGGTGATTCGGGCCTTGGAATTGCCAATTGCCAGAAGGAACGGTTGACTCTTGGTCTCTTTTGTGTTGTCGAGGAATGCTTGAATACTCCCTCCTGTCTGTGTTGAAAACAAATTATTTGTATAGAATGTAACTAGCACTCAACGCATTTCAATACTCAACGCATTTCAATGAACAACATATTTCGATCAACATTTTTAAAAGACAGCCTTACATGTAGTACTGGGGGAAATTGTGTTTTTACAAAAGGGTTATTGGACAATAATGTAGGACATAAAACCAAATCAAATTTACATCAAAGAAAAGAATTGGAATTGGTCCATCAAATGATATAACATCAAAATATCAGATGATATTTTTTGTAATGAAATACAATTTTTCTTACCCTGTAGAGGGGTAAAAATGCAAGTACTTTCAAAGCTTGTTTTATGTATATGATTAAAAAGGGTCTTTCTAATGTGGTCAAGACATTTCAACTTCCACAAAAGGAGTACGAAAAATAAAGATACTGCAATTTCTGCACTATTATTAACTTGCAGCAAATTTGTGGCATGAAATATTCCTTTTCATTTATTGATTCTCCATGTAGGGCTGTGAAAATCAAAGGCAACATGCCTGATATATCACACAAGTTGTTACTATGTTTTCATACACAACATGTTCCTAGTATTTGTTTGCAAATCTTGATGTCTACTGTTCTAGTTTATTTTACTCCGACCAATTTCAAGGCGGGTGAAGTTTTTGAATAGGCCTAAATTTCTCGAGCACCTTCTCTGTCCAAATCAGTCTAAGCCTCTTCATGTAAGAGATCATAAACCAATATAATTGTTCTCTTTGAACACACATCACGATGCTTTCTGAAACTTTTTTTTTAATGCAGCAAGAATGTGTTTTATGTGACAGGGTATTACCGGTACTTAATATTTACAGTTCTCTTTCGTAATGAAAAGCTAAATACCTTCTGAAATTGAATAACCCTCGAGAGAGCTGAAGAAATGGACACTTTTGCTGACGCAGCTTTGGACTTCCCTTGGCTTGCAGGAGGCAATAGGCACAAGAGGAGGAGGATAGCAGATGTGCTGGAATTCCATCCTGTGCATTACAAAATGAAAATGGTTATTATTAAACAGGCTTACATGTTGATCAAGGTGAAAAATAGAAGTTAAATGTACCAAAATAATTACAAACTGACCTGCTAAAATTTGAATCAAAATAGCCTGTAACAAGAAACTATTATAAGAAATAAGTATATAGTCGAGGACTTATCAATATTATAGCCAAAGCATGCAAGTGGCTGTTAATGCAGTTTAGGGGTACTAAACCAAAAATCCAATTGATGCCAGCTTGGCACCCTTGGAGAAATTTTACTGACACTTATAGCAACGCCTTCTTCTTCTTTCTTATGAGAATTTATACAAAGGGGGATGGGAAAAAAGAAATCAATAGGAAAATAATAAACGGGATATTTATGCATGGGAGAAGGCAACATTCATGGCAAAGCACCTAACCTAGATTGTTCTCTGTTGACACATATATAACAAACTCTTTAGTAGCATAAGTTCATGTTTTTTTTTTTACAATTTTTTTCTTGTTCTACTGAATTTAACATGCTTCTACCCAATTTGACATCCTTTTCATGATTAAATCACAAAAATTGCATCAATACTGGAATCAAATGTTGCAATTAACAATTTATCAAATATGTCCCCTATGGGCCACCATATTTTTCAAAGTTAACTAATGAAGAAAAACAAAAATATCATGATTTTCTGAATTCTAAAGCATTTATCTTCAAATAAAGACAGAGTAAACACAAGCAAGCTGCTAATATGTAAATGCAGGGTCCTGTGGGGTCGATTCAAGTTCATATTATAAGATAATAAGCCATGCATATCATATCTGAGGAAGAAAAATAACAAAGTGAACATATAAACATGATGCTTTGTTTCAAAACAGAAGCTCATTCTATTTCAAAAGTAATGATTGGCAATGTGATAATCCTTATAAAGATTCCACAATGGGCCATGCAACAAACTTTTTTCTTCATAATTATATAAATTTCTTCTTCATAATTATATAATTAATATAATAAAAGAATTATGGAGAGCATGTTCCAACTACAAATAACTTTGCCAAGTGGGCATGTAATGTAATTTTTTGTAATTCTCATTGCAACAAGAGTCCACATTATTTGAGATGCCCAATAACCCTACTGTATCCCAGCCTTCCAGATAAATATAATTTGTTGGAGGAGTTGACAAAAAAAAGGGGGGGGGGGGGAATTGTTTTAATTGGGATGGGTCATTTTTTGTGATTTCAGCATACTTGTCCCTTAATATACATTTTTAATGAGACTGCAAGCTCTTTGGTGGAATTCTCAATGGTGGTTTAAGACCAAGGTCTAAACTTGGTTCAAAACCATGGATTGGATTAGATTTGCATGTATTCTAAAACTTGTCCAATGAACATGCTTGTGTGAAGCACATATATGCTCAAATTTAAACTAACCTATCAATGGTTTATCCATGGTCTCAAATAAACCACCATCAAGAATTCCACCCTTTATGACATCGGAGGGTGCATTCAAGGGAATGTGCAAAAATACCTTCTTTATTTTGATCAGAACTGTCATAAGATGACAGAAGCTCCATCACTGTCAAGTTTCCTTTCTGCTTCAGAAGTTGTCTTGCAAGTGTAACAACCTTGGGCTTCAACTCGGGCCATTTGGTCAGGAAACGCGAGTGATTTTCAGGAAAAAGTTTCCGAAAATCTACCTCAATCTGCAAGAATACATGTAAAAGGAAAACGGGGAAAAGAGAGAAAAAATAAACTATGCATAATTTTACAGTACAGATACCCCAGTTAGACTAAATCAGCAATATAATAAGGTACCGTCAAAGCTCAGACCCCCATATATACACACCCCAGATCCAGGAAAAGGGGATTCTTCAAATATTTATCTGAATAGCAACCACTAAGAAGTACTTTTGAAGGTCTCTCTACACAAAATCCATACATGAATGAAACTTGCTGGACCTTTGAAATAGATTAGATTTGCTAGATATCACTCATGTTGATGCTCACTGTCCAAAGGTACATGACAACCAGTAATGGTGATTGTTCACCAACAGACAGTCACATGCGGTAAATACAGATACAGATTGAAGGATAAAACTGGCAGAATCTTCGGACTGATATTTTCAAAATCTCAAACATATATAATAAAACAGAGAAATATGAATTTGATGCCTCAGTGCCAAGTAATAATTCTGATGCTTTAATTCCCATACACATAATTTTGTTGCCTTAGGCCTGAGAGGCTAAATCAAGAATTAGGAGTAAATTTTTTTGTAACACTTACCAAACCTGGAACAGTTTCAAAAGGAAACTGTTCCAAAATATCCGATGCGGAGCGTCCGTCCCTGACCATATGCTGTCTAACAGGAAAAGTGGATTTCATCTTTTCAACAACCAGGGTAGAATCACGTTCTAATGTTGGACAGTGTCGTAACCAGTTGAGGTCTTCATCATAGGTGCAGCCTGGAGCAGATTCTTGGTCACCTTCTCGGACCTTCCCAGGACCACCATCTCTGCTTGATGGCTTGGGTAATGGGTTGGATGTCTTCTCCTCTGTTGTGCGGTTAACATTTTTTATTCTAGCAGCCAGGAATCCCGTGTTACTTCTTGCATCAAAATAAGCTTCCTAAAGTGAAAGAACGAGATGAATCTTTGACCGCGTGGTTGAAAATGTATGTATAAGCTTTTTGTTGATAATATTAACCTTGAAATGATGCACAAAATGATGTGATGAGAAATTGTAGTTTTCAAAGAAATTTTAGCAAAGTAGCATTAGTGTCATATAATGCAAGCATCTTGACTTTGATACAAGGAAGCAGCCATCACTCTGCCCCACTTCAAGAAAAAAAGAGTTTTGAGTGGTTGTGAAGGAGAGTAGAATGGTATCATACATTTCTTATTGGATATTGTGCCAAAGATGGTGGAGTGTGACCTACACAAGATAAAATTTAAAAAAAAAATTCTTCTCAGAATATAATTTAGAGAGATTTTGAGGGTATTTTTATCTTATCAGAGTATCATAAGTTTTCTTTTGATTAATGGAATGCAATACCTTCTTATCAGAGAGGACCATGCAGGGCCCATATTCAATTAAATACTTCAGTCAGAAAAATAAATATTTTTTCTTAGATTTTTGCTCGGATAAAATACTTTGCAGATTTTGGTATTCAATTCATAAATTTGGCTAAGTATTTTACTTTAAATTTAAGACACCTCTAGAGGAGACTTAAGCCAAAGCATTTACAAATTTAACTGGTAGATGAAGGCTTACATGTATGTGCGCAGTCACTCTCAGCTGCGGAGAATTATGAAGTAGCGCATTTTTGGTGCAATGTGTTGATTGCGCATCATTTGGTCACAAAATCGTGATGTCACAATGCCTCTCAATAAGTATTTTACTTAAATTTTGACTTACTAAAGTAAAATGCTAAGAACTGAAATGAATACAAAATAAGTAAATACCTTAGCCAAAATACTTAGTAAAAAAACTTACTTAGTCAAAGTATTTATTTGAATATGGGCCCAGATTATAATACTTACATGACCTGTGCTAGTAAACGGATCCTTGAGTCTTGGAAACAGATTCACTATCCCCATGGCATATTTGGTTTTCATAGCTGCTTTTGGATGTTTGCTGTGAAATAAGAAAGCACATCTCCTGTATGAGAATTACAGTCATATGGACTCATGACTGGCTCTATTAAAACAGAACTTAGTATGTTGATAACAAGTAGCATACCCCTAGTGGTCTCGTCTGCATCATATAATTTGCTATAGTTTAGTATTTTTTTATTACTTTAAAATCTCAAAATATCACATGGTTAGTTCATAATACATTTATAAAGTGAGGCCTCATGACGATGAGGCCGCTAACATCTACGGCATTAATCTATTTTAACGTAATGACCCAAAAATGTCACTCACAAGACTGGTAATACCTGATAACCATCATGTGCAAATCACATTTAAAACTAGATGAATCTTCGACCACGCACGGTCAAAATTTAAGCCTCTGCCATCATGCGATCAGAAAGATATTATTGCTTGTTCCATGCCATTGGAAATCCGAAACATTTTGGGTGATTTTACAAATTTTGGGCACTATGAACTTTGACCCCGTGAACCCAAAATCTTCTTCCTCCCATGCTAATACATAATTGAGCTAGGTTTGAAAGAAATTAGTTCAATTTGTCTGAAGTTATAGCAATATCGAGCTTTTTTTCGGGTAATTTTTTACAATTTTTGTTTGGCCCTGTGACCTTTGCCCTTTGACCCCCTAAACCCCAAATCTAATCAGTTCATCCTCACATGTATATAAATACTTGTGTCAAGTTTGGTAAAAATCCGTCCAGTAGTTCTGAAGTTATCGTGGTAACAAGTTTCCGACGGACGGACGCACGGACGGACACACGGACGCACGGACGGAAGGACGGACGGACAACCCCGAAAACATAATGCCTCCGGCACCACCTGACGGTGGCGGAGGCATAAAAAATGAATATTTTGAAAAATGATTTTGAAGAGACAACAAATTCCTTTAAAGTTGACCATGTTACCTCAGTTTCTTTTCACATAATTGGTAGTACCTGATAATTATTATGTGCATTTACACAATCATAAAAGAAAATTTGCTGGCACTTACCCATAGTGTTCTTGCATGTGGGCTACCAAAAGGTTAATCATCTGCCGTCTAGTTTTATCTTGAAGTGCTCCAGTCAATTCATACTCTCGGAGAATGGCATCACCTCTGTGCCGCAAAATTTCTTGTACAAACTGCAAACAGGTAAATCATCCCATTAAGTCATAAATAAACATATTGAGTTTATAATGCACTTTCAGGCACTTTAATTCATACTGACCTTTCTAAGGGCACGAAATTTTATGAATGACTATGAATTTATATAGGTACATTATGATATTAAAATTGATATATGGCCAATAATCATAAATTCTAAATAATAATATATTTATTTATAGAGCTTGAAATAGTTTAAATATTGTTAAATACACACTCCCACAAACACCCCAAACACACATATGCACACACGCACATACACACACACGAGGGGACACATGAGGCTACAGGTAAATTTGTGTTTATTGTAATGCGAGTTCCTTCTACTTAATATAGACATGCAAGCCCAATGCCATGGGGAGACCGTCTAAAGTGCCCTGAACAGTGTTCATTACTTTCATATCCACAAACAATACAGCAGGAAACTATTCTATGTTTGGGATCATCATGAACACTACAATAAAGGTTATGTAACAATCGATGCATCTCATCTTCAACTTTTTAATTTTGATATTAGTCCTTTTCCTTGATACCCTCAGAGGTCTATATGGAACCAGATCATGAGATGTATTATTCGATGATTATTTACCTCATTTCTCTTTCCCATTTCTAAAACATTTCATAAAATTTGGCAATTCAATTTAAACCTCTAGACATAATATCATTTGTTTGAAATCATACCACCCATTGGAAGAAAATGAAACTGTAAAAGTTTATGGAAAACTTATGACAGATGACGAAGCAAAAAAGATGGCCAATATCTTACAGGAGTCGTCAGCTTAGATGTACCAAAAAAGAAATCAAATTAGTTGCCTAATGTTAACCTATACCATTACAAAAACCTTACTACAGGAAATATTAATTTACAATGTTAGTTCTAACTACACTAGATGTATTTTTTTTCTCCCAATATCATTTTCAATTTTAAATAATATGAAATCCGTATAGGTGATGAGTCCCTTATATTATGTTGATTATGATAGCTGAGATTGAAATGAAGCAAACAATTTTTTCTTAACCTTACCTCACAAGAGTTGTCAGTGATTGCACCTGATTCACTGAGGGCATTTAATCGTGGCCTCTTTCTACTGGAGCAAAAACTTGAATCAGATTCTGAGCTACTCAGGGAAGAGGAGCTGGTATCCACCTTGATAGTGTCTGCACTTGTGATGCTATGTACATCTGAACCTTTAATAAAGAAAAAAAGATATAAAGCCATGAGCACTGTTAAAAAACAATGAATACTGGCATCTTAAACTTTGGTAGAATTGAATACAGTTGGGCCTCCTTTATCCCCACACTTGGGATCAGCACTAACATGCATAAGGGAATCCTATATTCAAAACATGCAGTTGCCGAGTTTGAATGAATGCATGTTTCTGATCATGAAAAATTGAATTGAATGTGTAATAACAATGTTGGGAATAATGTATATAAGTAACCCAAATAGTTTGCGATATTACGAGTATGCTTGAAATCTTTGTTGGTTCCGCTAATTATTTGAGTAAAATAGGCAAATTCTCAAGTGATCTGGATAAAGGAGACTGGATAAGGGAGGTCCAACTGCATATAAATTTCTATTAGTCTAAAACCATCAGAAACCAGCTAAGTTATATTGGTCTGACACATTTGTTAATTTTATAATACTTGAGCATTTTTTAATGGACAATTTGTTAATTGATGCATTCATTCATGTCTAAGTGAATTATAATACTAGCATTTAGAAATGTTCAATTACTTTTCCATTGGACTGTTCCCAATGAAACCAATAGGTCTGTCCAATATAATCCAACAGAATTCTTTCATGATGGTTTTCTATAAGTATAAGACTAACAGAAAGAAATTGTTGGATTCCTATTATTGGATCAGCAAAAATTTTCTGATGGATTTCTAATGGACCAACAGAAGTATGTGTTGGATTTCTATTGGAGCAATATAACCTTTCTGCTGGTTTCTATGGGTCCTTTATTTCCCTTTCCCTATTGAAACCATTAAACTTATTGGTTTCTATGGGTCCAATAGCCCTCACCTCGTGCTATCACACAAAGCAAACAGAATCAAAATCAGATGAGAAATGGCATAGGAGTGGCCTTTTGTAGGATTTTGAAGCAAAAGGTCAAAGATCATACACAGACACGCACAGAAACACACAAGTATGGCGCCCGTTTCACAGTCCCCTCCTCAAATTTGTTCGGTGGGGTCACAATTTAAATTAAAGACATTTTTTTTTTAAATGCAAGTTTGCATTGTTAAAAAATTCAATTTGTAAGAATCTGTAATTTTTATAATCTTTAGACTTCGAATTTAGATCATTGACCGCCCACAAATCACGGCTCTTGTGGCAAGGTTACGTCATCAAAAAAGGGTAGGTTTTTTTTTCCTCCACCAAGTTTTGAGACCTGTGCCTGTAATTTGAACTGCACATTCATTTATTGCTTATGAAAAGCAAAATGTTAATTCCCTAGACTCTATACAGCATACAAGCCTACACTGTACCTGCTACCAGACGAACGCTGACTCATTTTAACATGCATGCACATACAATGATCAGTGGCGGATCCAGCAGGGGGCGCACCCGGCATGTGCCCCCTCTATATTTTGAGAATTACCTCGTGAACATACACATTACTAAGGTTAAATTGTGATCTGCGCCCCCTCTTTATTTTTAATATGCTCTTTGCACCCCTCTAACTCTATTTTAAAATCCTGAATCCGCTACTGATGATATCACATTTAGCAGGGATTTGCAATTTTGTATTATAATGCACTTTATCCAAAACTTACCAGACCATTCTTCATCTTCTTTTAGCACCATGAGGCTGACTGTGGGATTGCTGGTCACCACATCTCCTAGTACGTCATCGTCTATACCAAACCCTTCTTGTTCATCCACAAGTACGAGATCTTCCCCATCCCTTATGTGGAATTTTCTTCTGACTGTAGGAGAGATTAAATAAATGAGAATAAATATCACAGTGCACTTTTCAGTTTCTTACAGATTGATGGCTCAGTCATAATAAACGAATGCTGCAAAAACTGCTGCTACAAGCCCAACTGTGCTATAGTATACAAATAACGCACGTCCCAGAGTGCAATAGCGGTGAATGCAGTACGCGCGAGGTTTCTTTATATTGGTGCCGCTCTGTGCAACAAGCCGCTTGCGGCGAGTTGACAGTGCGAACCATCTGAAGAAACCGAGCGAACACTGCATTTACGTTTCGCACAACAGGGTCAAGTGCGTTATTTGTTTTATAAAATAGCGACACAAACAGCAACAAACAAAAGTTTAGATCTTAAGTATACGAGAGTTCGATCTAGATCTAGAGTTATGTTGGTTCTAGAAATAAAATGAGGGTCTAAGACCTTGCAGGCTTACCAAAAAGTCTACAGGATTCATTGTTTGATTAAAAATAAAATGCATAGGGTGTCTAGAGACGAGTCTACATCAGACAGCTGAAATTCCTGGCTTCATTATAAAATCCAAAAGTCAAAACGGGTCTAAATCCAAGGCAAAAGTAAAACAAAAATTTGCTTTCTAATAATACCCCGCTCTAGCTAGAGCTAACGCGTACGCTGCGCTGGGGATCATGGTGGATCTTGGAGCGTACAATATTAGCTACGCGTAGCCTATAGCCTACAATGCACTCGAGGGAGCGTACTAGTACTACGCGTACGCGCGCGCACTGGATCCCCATGGTCACGCGTACGCACCGTGCAATATAACTTTTTACTGCGCTTTTTCTGCACTCATTTCTGCAAAATCGTGCTTGCATCAAAAATTTGTCAATGCCATGTGACGCGTATTGACCAATCACGATGCTTAAAATACTAGGCTAGATCTAGAGCCATTTTATAATACACCCTAAAACTGTTAAATGGGACATCAAGCTCAACCGGGGGTGGAGTTTGGACTGTTGTGTGCGCTACAAATAGTCTAGATCTAGATCTAGATCTAGAGATTGAATTTCCATGTTTATTATTTTTGCATTTTTTTTATTACATGAATGGGGTAGATCTAGTCTAGATCTAACGTTAGATCTATCTAGATCTAGATATCTAGGCCTAATGTCAATGCAGATCTAACGTTAGAACTCTAGATCTAACTGTTAGGCCTAGAAATCTAGAGTCTAGATCTAGTCTAGACTTCTAGATCTAGATCTAGATCTAGCCTAGACCTGATATTTTTGCAAAAACCCAGGATTAGGCCCTAGACTAGGTCTAACGTTAGATCTACTGATTTTTCCTTTACATTTTGAAACAAATATGTATTAAATAACAATATATAGACCTAGATCTATCATGAATGTTTGCCCTTTGGAGTATTTATCAATGATAATTTTTCAGAAATCCATAAAATATTAAATGGCATCATGCTGACCGGATACCCAACCCGGCCGGACAGCCAAAGCATAGTAGTAGGCCTAGACCTCTAGGCCTGGGCTACCCAACGACAGGCGCGGCTAGCGCCAGCTGACGAACACGTAATACTATAGGCTAGATCTATAAAAGTTTATAACAAACAAGAACCATGTACACTTACTGAGTTCAAAGAATCCTACTGTGTCTTCTGGATCTATAGGCAGGTATTTTCTAATACTTCGATCCGCTGAACAGACCCTGACGCTTAATGGCATGGTTGCATGCACTTCGATCACTTCACATCTAGAATCTAGGCCTAATTTGAAGAATTACTACTCCAGAATCAAGACTTCAAGTCAGTGCCAGTGAAATTCTCTAGCCACATGCTCTCGTCTAGCTGTGCGCGCGCAGCTGCAGAGGCGCATATCGGATCATATGACAACTTTCGTCCAATGATTTTCGTCGAATTCTCTAGCTTATGCGCATGTGCGATTTTATAACACCAAATATGACACCATCAGCCTGTAATTGAATATTTTCACACCGTTGGTGTTATTTTTCGCCAATCGGACATGAAATGAACACCAAGGGTGTTGATATTTTTCTATTCCATGCTGGTGTTGAATATTTAACACCCTGGTTTTTGCAGTGTATGATTATTCTCTTTGTTTTTTTTTTTAATATTAAAAAAAATTGTGTTTACTTCATACACGACATAACTTCTTATCTTCACTATTATTATGAGATATATGCCTCTTTGTCGACGGATAACTGAACTATACACTATTACACTTACCACCTATAACCGTTATAAACCTGGGGCAATTTATACCTTTATTATCCACATTACCTCCTTATCCAAACTCCAACAACTACTTCGACGACATCTAATAATGATGATTAGGGATAATCATCTTTGCGCTCACTCAAAAGGGGTAATCTTCTTATGTGGTATTTTACTGCTGGGATTATTTCCCAGAATTGTGTGCTATGAATTAGAGTAGACTTACCAGCACTTGACACTTATGCGGCTTCAGACAGTATTGTGATTTATTTATTTTTTATTTTTTTATTTTTTTATTTATTTATTTATTTTTTTTTTTTTTTTGGGGGGGGGGTTCTTTTCAGCTTTTAAAAATTTTAAAGGGCCGTTATAAATCAAATATACCATGAACTATTTTCGAGGTACAATAAAAATTATGGATTCTCTTCGATGAAAAGCATAGTACCTATTTTCTTCTGCGTCCCTCACAAAACACTTTGCCAGACACCTCAGGGAAATTATAATTTCAACTCTCTGTGACTGGAGGCTCTCACGGCGTAGTATATTATGATCGCTGTACAGGCATAACCATGTCCCCATTCTACAGAGAGGTCATGACTACTTGTTTAAATTTTAGTCATGGATTTTATGTATTTTGTACATGTATGTCGGGGACCCCACTGGAAATAAGTTCTCGGCCTTTCTGGGGTTATCCTGCTCAAGCTGACTTTATTGTGATATGTTTTTCACTTATATTATTGTACAGGCGCGTACGCAGGGGGGTTGGGGTTAAACCCCCCCCCCTTTAATTTTTTTATGTGTATGTTTTGTGTATGCTTTTTGTGAACCCCCCCCCCCTTTTTTTTAATCTTTTTAATTTAAAAAAAAAAAAAAAAAATGTATGCCAATGGCTGACCTAAAAAAGGTGACCTTACCCCCGCCCCCCAACGGAACAAAATGTTCAAATTACGAGACCAAAACAAAAAAGTGTCCTCTTCAACCCCCCCCCCCCCCCCGCTTATTCAGCGACTGGCTGAGTCGTTGCGATTTTTTTTTTGGACACCCAAAAAAAAAAGTGTCCGCTTACCCCCCCCCCCCCCCCCCCCCCCCACTGAGCGACTTTCAAATTTTCGGGAGCAAAATAATAAAGCTGAGTGGTTGCGAAATTTTGGGCCCAATTTTATCCCCCCCCCCCCCCCCCCCCCCCCCTTGAAAAAAATCCTGCGTACGCCACTGTTATTGTGTGTTGAAGGCTTGGCGAATAAAATCAATCAATCAATCAAAAGTCAACCTTAGTCATCTAATAGGGGGAAAACAATTACAAATTAAATGCAACAAGATAGAGGGTGTGTGGGTTAGAGAGGAGAGAGTTACAGACAAAGAGAGAGAGAGAGAGAGAGAGAAAGAGAGAAAGAGGGCGAGATCGAGAAGGAGTGTCTAAAAAAAACAGACACGTCACTGTCCATAATGTTTCCGCTCCCTCAGATTTAGTCAACGCAACGGTTCACCATTGTCCATGGGTTCACAAAGTAAGACCATAACCCCACCATGCATACACCATTGACCTACTACAGATGGACCCGTGCAACGACAATCCGGTGGCAAAGGCACTTGGCAAACGCGTGTTCGGTGGCAGATCAACCTTCATAACAGACTGCTTACACGCTTGCTCATGATGTAAATCAAACCAGGAATAAAAGTGTTCAGATTATTTTTGTTCTGGCTCCAGGCACATAATGGTAAGACATCCTTACAACGCTACTCCATGTCTTTAGGAAATAGGTGTTTGTTCCAGTGGCAGATACAAAAAAATCTAGATTGGCGGATAATGTTTTTAAGCCTTGATTCTAATTAAGCCCCAGTGCCTCCTCGCTCTTGGACGATAGATAAATCTAATTATTTAATCTAAATGGAAGAGGAAGAACAATTCTAAGATTAAACTGTTAAAGCCTTTTCCAATTATTTTATGGCCAAATACTACCAACATGCCATTTCATTAATCGAAGGCTAATTTCGGAGACAATTTTGAAGAAGTGGATTTTGAATTAGTAGCATTTATCGCGTTAGGTTTAAAGAATCAGCTACCTGATCTAAAGATTTGAGCAAGGGAAGAAGAGAAGTCCCCAGAGTGAATGCTAAATATAAGCATTCCAAGTTGCATCGAATATAGATCTCCTAGTTTTAGAATACTGTTTTCATGATAAATTAGATTTGTATGTGCACGATAATATGCTTTAGAAATATTCTAATAACCCGCTTCTGCACAACAAAAATCATATGAATTCGAGTTCTTGATGATTTGCCCCATTCAAAAATACCATATTTAATAAATGATAAAAATGAAAGTAGATCTCAACTTATAGATAAAACCAGTAATATTCCAAGACATTTTGTTGAAGCTACTCTATCGATGGGGACATTAAATGTCACATCACCTGGCAAAAAAAATGACAGCATATAATTAGTTTTCTGAAGATTCAAGGATAAATTTATTAACATTATTCCAATTCATAACTTTTCGGAACTCTTTAATATCAGTTTTCAACAATATTTTCGGACATTTGTGAGAAAAATATACACTTGAGTCATCATCAACAATTATGAAAGATAATAAACTTGATGAGCATTGAAAATCGTTAATATACAAAAATCCCAAAAGGGATTCCTTGGGAACAATGCATGTTAGTTTTGGGGGGCAAGAGACAAATCCATTTTATTACCAATATTGCTTTTGATCAGTAAGATAACTTCTAAACCAATCCAAGACGACTCCCCTGACACCATAATGGCATATTACTCATGAGAATGTCATGGTCTTCAGTATCAAAGGCCTTGGAAAGTCTAAAAATTACCGATATTGCGTAAGTGACTATCTAAGGCAAAAGGAAGTTCATCTATAAAGTGTAAAATTGCATGTGTTGTTGTATGCTTCTCCTGAAAACCAAACTGATAATTACTTAAGACACAAGTTTTGCTTTTAAAAAATATAGTTCTTGCATAAATAAGCTTTCTCAGAGTTTTTGAAAAAACATGTTGGGAAAGAAATCGGACGATAATTTGTCAGTAATTGAGAGTCACCCTTTTTTTTTAATTGGTATATCTCTTGCAATCCTCACGTTTTCCACTACAACTCCGCTTGACATAGACAATTTGAAAAAAAAATTGACTAGTGGTTGAAGAATACCGACAATACCTTGCTTAATAAGTTAATTCCCAATATGATCATACCCAGAACTTTTCCCTTTCTTGTTCTTTAGGGCTCTAACAATACCAAGCAATTCTTTGTCATTTGTGGGCACCAAAAATATACTTTGCATATTAGGTTCTCCTAAATAATCATGAAAATCTGTTCAACTGTTTGGAATAGTTTTGCCAGATTCGGACCATTTTACTAAGATATTCATTAAACTTTTTCACTATGATATCTTTAGATGGTGCTCGGTCTCTCTCTCTCTCTCCCTCTCTCTCTCACCACACACTCCCGCGCACTCTCGTATCTTTTCTCAAGAATTTTATTTCTTTTTCTCCTCTATCTCTCCCACATCTGTTTTCTCTCTTCCTCCCTCACATTTATGCTCGCTCTCTCTCTCCCTATTTCATTCTTTTCCCCTTTCTCTCTCTCTCACTCTCTCTCTCTCTCTCCGTCTCCCAGTCGTTTGCACCATGTTACGATCATTCAAAACACGTGCACGGTTTAAAGTTATCATATATTTATTTGAATTTGAAATATGCGCATTATACAATGCATTCGTCTCCAACATTACAATAGGAATACCAGCCCCTAAGTCTTCTACAGACTCATCACAAAAATAATTTTGACGAAACAAAAAGGAACTGAAAACTTCGTTTCATGGACATACAAAATAAAAATCTGTCGTAACTAGCAACATATACATAAATAAATAAATTACAATGCAATCCTGCGCAAATTGCATGTTACTTGCATTGTGAACTTGCATTATGAAAATAATGCCATGTATCTACAATCATGATATATACAATCGCCATTACTTAGCCCAGGTATAGTTCAAGGGTATCTTAAGAGCAAGGAAATATATAAATGCGATGAGTGGTGTCATCGTAAAGGCAAATGTATAGCAGTCGGGCAATTTGCCACTTTCGTATAATCAAATTCAATGCATATGTCATTTTGAACTGCCTCGTTGCAACTTATTTAATGCACCTTTTACGAATGATTTTACTGCAATAGTCAGAATGCGAACTACATACATTAGTTGTTGCTAGGTATGAAAAACATTATGAAATGACCTACGTAACAACATTAAATGTTTGCATTTTTTCATTATGACTTCTTAAAGATTTATGCATTAATCTTGATACATGCAAGGAATAGACGGGTAACCACGCGGCCAATGAAGACCGGAAAAGTGCTTGAAAGCAAAGCATTTGCAATGCAGAGTGCAACCGGTCTTTTAATTGGTGTCTAATAAGCTGATCTATGACAGTTGAAGTCTTGATTATTTAATTTGTGGCTTCTCTAATTGCACTATTGAAGAAAAAAAAATTATGTCAAAAGACAATCCTCGTACATGTACTTACTAGTTTACAATTACATGTATATGGATGCAATACAACAAGGGAAATTGGATATAATAACGTAATTTATTACAAGGCATTATTTTCAACAGAAAAATTACATATTCTTATTTAAATCATGACGAGATTTATCAAACTGAAATCAAATAAGCGATATTAAACCTTAAAATCAATTTCTTGAAATAAATGACATGAATTAGTACAAATCAAATTATGCATATCACTAATTTAAACAACATGAAATAAATTCTTCTAAATAACTAACATTTACCCGGCAAGGCAATATTGTCTAAAAGCACGAAAAATTGATTTCCTGAATATTCGCGATGTCATATGTTTACATTTAAACCTATGAGAACCTTAACCTTAGGAGCGTTACATTTGGTTTACGATATTGACGAATAAAAAGGGATTTACATCTCTAGAAATTCGCAATTTCTAGCAGCGAAGCGGATTAATATTCCAATCAAAATGTAAAAACAAGTTACACATCAACATCAAACCATAAGGAATAGGCCTATGAGTACTGAATATTTTGCAGGTACAATGCGAACATTGCGAAATTCTTGCATTCACTTCTCTAAAATGGTTATTCAGCAACATCTTTTGAACACAAAGTCATAATATAAAAAGATAATGTTTAAAAATAAAGTTCATGTGATGCTAGCTTTAACAGTGTTTTTCTTCAAGAAATTGACTAAAGAAAAATCAAACTTATTTTCTCTTGTTGAATAGTTACATAGGCCTATTACTAATACGAAGGTAGCAGGTCAATCAATTCTAAACTTAAATCGTTTAGTTGATGAAAAGAATCCGTACCTGGGAAGAAACACAACATCATTAAATTGTATACAATAAGTATGTGTACTACCCCCTAGTAAAACCTTCCAGCTACAGTATGCATTGACAGAAACCTGATAAACGAAAGACCAGACCCCTTCTTGGAAATTAGTTTACTTCAAATGCCAGAGAGCTCCGATAACTACCCCTTCTTTTTTTAAGGAAAGGTGAATGAACGGTGGGTCTTTTTCCCAAGTGTACTACGAAATCATCCGCTTTTTGGTATTCATGAATTCAAATATTGGTAGCCATGATGTTAGAACGATGGTATGAAGGACTCCGTGGAGATTGGGTACAGTGGCAAGACGTCCCCACAACCTAATACCAAGGGGCTATTAACCGAAGCTAAGTGGCCTCGGTACACGATTTCAAGTACACCCGTTAACAAATGGCCGTGGGCATGGACTTAGTGAAAGCCACCTCGGCAAGTTACGAAAGAGAGGGGGGAGGCACCTGTCAGCCCTGTTACAGTGGGATACTGTCGTTACATTATTGACAAATTCAACCGCGTTACGTGATAGCAAATTAATCAGTAACAAGTTCAAATGACAATAGTAATAATAATAATACTGATGAATATGGTTTCTGGTATACTACTCATCTCTGTGAGACACATTTGATGCTCCTGGCGCTTTGCTATTCCAGTATGCTTATTTTTAATTTTGTAACGATTATTCTAGAACACGCCATTTTTTAAGGTGACTGAAATTCAAATAGAATTAAGAGACATTCGTAGATGTGCAAAATTCATTAAATCGCATGCATGTTAGACATCGTTATTAATGAAGATGTAGACATTTAGAACCCATCCCTCCCATCCATTGACAAATGGAACGTTCTTAATAGAAGTCAAATTTTTGAACACTTCCATTAAATTTGCATTTTGTTACAATAAATTATAGTATACATAATCAATATCGGTAAAGTGTCGTCATTGTTAAAGAAAAACAGAAGTTGGTCCGAGATATCTTAGGATACCCATGCGAAGAAGTAAGAATAAAATCGTCTCCATATTTTTTAAGTAATTCAAAGGACAACCCCTCCAACTGGAATATTATAGGTAAGGTTCTCATCATCATCATCATCATAACTTTTCTTCTATTAAGTTGTATATGCTACATATACTTTATGTTCTTCAGATGGTTGAGTGGAATGATTCTCAATTAGCTGCTTTCATGATTGGTGACTTATTCAATACGCCTGTCCTCCAGAATAGATGCGCGCCACCTGCAGGACAAAATAGAAGAGAAAAGTGATAATTAGTCTTCAGGTCAAATATATCGCAAGCGAATTGAACATAATCAGTAAGATAAGCTTACTTCTTTTGGGATCCTTCACTAGAAATTTACACAGGTGGAAATCCATTTAAAGAGAGGAATTCACTCTAAAAATTAATATTCACCTATCTACCATGGATTTTATCATACTTTGGAGTGGATTTAACTCTAGAAGATTAGTGATCCATATTATGACTCTTAGCTGATTTCCTTTCCTCTACATTTAAAGAGAAAGCTTCTTATAGGTACTGATACATAAAACATTGACAAAATGGTTCAAGTTTGTAGATGAATCCAACTTCTTAGATAGGACAAATCAAACAACTGTATACAATCAAAATTTACATCCTGACAGTCCATTTAGATAAAAACATTATTGCAGTTTATGAGCTACCACAGGTCGTATTGAATGCAATTTTTTTTTAAAGTAAAAAAAAAAATCTTAGATTTGAAAGAATAATGTTACTAATGGCTCTTAATTGATGTTGCATAATATCATTATTAACTTTTCTGAAATGGCAGCGGTTAAAATTTAAAAGGACATTTCGGGCATTTAATTTCACTTTGCATGCAATATTTCCTAGTGAATATGCTTGTTTGTTTGTTTGTTTTAGTTTAGTTTACTTTACTTTACTTGAACTTTACCATCTATATATCACAACCAGATGATTCTACAGTATTTAATTTAGAATTATCCTGCAACTCACAACACACAATTACTCAAAGCAGCACAAGTTTTTAACAAAACAAACACAATTGTTTTACCTTTGAGTATAACTGTGGTTTTTTATTAATCAATCTTCCTTCACCTACTCATTTTACTTATGCGCATAAATTATCATATACATCAAAATACATAAGGTTCGTAGCACTTTAGTTTTTGTTTTATTAAGCTACTTTACTTTATTTTAGTTTGGTTTAGTAAGTTTTTTGGTGTTGGTTTGTTAATATGCAAAGACGCCTGGAAAAGAGTGCAAGAAAACATGGCATGAACCTCACGGCTGAGAAAAGCAACATCCTGAAGATGGGTGTTGATGAGAATGTAACTGTAACGATTGAAGGAGAACAGCTTGATACTGTTGATCAATTCAAGTATCTAGGGCCATCTACCACAGAGGATGCTAAACCTGCTCAGAAAGTCAAAATAAGATTTGCCATTGCACATCTGCCCTTGGAATTCTGACACTAATATTGAATGACAGGAGAACCACAATGACATCTAGATTGAGCTGGTAACATCAGTTATTTTATATGGTTGTTAACACGGACACTGAATGCAGAGATAGGAAAGCGAGGATTTCTGCATATCTGCTACTCTTCACATATGTCAAACAAGAAAGTGAGAGAGAGAGAGATAATGGAGAATCGTATAGGGGAACAAGATCACCTCATAACAATTGTGAAAAGAAGACAGCTACAAAAGTTTCTGCATGTAACTAGATGGAAGAGTAGCCTGACAAGCACCATTTTGAAGGAGGAACCGATGGGAGAAGAAAGAGGGACAGACCAACTAAACTGATAACACCAAGCAGTGGACGAGAATGTCATTTGAACAGCTAACCAGAACAGCTAAAGACAGAAAGTTATGGGGAGCATGTGTCTCAAGGTCCATTTCATTGCTGCCTCCAACGGCTTCTAAGCTATGGAACATATATATATATATATACATGATATGCAAAAAGATGTATTTCTTGTAATCATGTTTTCCCCTTTTGGTGAGATTGACTTTTGTCTGAATGATACTGAATACAAGTTTAAAACAGGGTTTCTTTAAGTTTACATGATGTTTGAAACGCAGATTGTGTGGGCGAAACTAAACTCTAAATTCTTTTAGGACAATGCTGTAGTTTAATTAAGAAACCTTACAATGGCAATACTGCACATGAACAATGAACAATAAATGTATTTAATACAATCATAGGGATAAAGATGAGACTTAATAAACAAGGACTATTGTGGGCGGATCCCTTACAAAATATTCCCGAAAATATAGGAAACCCTTCATAAAAATAATGATACAAGAGATATAAATAACATTCGTACGACTTCAACAATGAATATCTAGAGACAGTTATTAAAAAAAAAAAAATCTTTCTTAGTTGTTATCATGGCTATTGAAGATGGAAAAGTGGAGGGGGGGAATATCTTAGCTCACGGAAATTGATATTGTTGAGGAAACAAAACTACATTTTTATTAGGAGCCTGATACATGAAAATTATCATTAGAGACCGCCACATTTCAATAACATAGTTGCCAGCAGCCAATCAAATTCAATTGTTGCAGTAGCTTATAAAAGTTACGGTAACTTGTATTGAAAATACGTTTTATGAAACAGTGCTCAGATTTTTGGAGGAGAATCTTTAAACCATAATTTCCATAAGAAATATGGTCAACTAAAGAGATCGAGAGCTCCGATATCCAACATAAGAACGTTCATATTGTAACTGCCTATTAATGTATGAAAATGCAGAAATCAAATCAAATCAAACATAATCAATTGCCCCTCTCTTTATAATTTCGTTTTGAGGAGAAAAATATTTGCTCATTTTAAAAGAAAAGATCTTACAATGTTGCTGAGAAATTGACGATCCAGCGAACACAATAATTATCGATCGGCCCCAAACTCGATTCATTTTGACCCAATAGTATAAGGTACTTATTACCTAATACTTATCGATAATTTCGCCAACTCATATAATTATGGCAAATGAACAAAAGTTAGTTTAAAGATTTGTGGTAACCCACTCCCTGGGCAATATCCTTCCCACACTTGAACGAAAATGTGGTCGACCACGGAGTTCACATGAGCAAAAGAAGTACTCTCACAAATTACTGTGTACATATTTGCCAGAGTATGTAATGACTTTAGTGGAAGCCGCAAGTTTGTTAAACAAAAAACACACGTTAGATTTCATGACTTCTCCTTCTATTTCGGATACATTTTTAAAGTTATAGTGAAGCTAATAAAACGGGATAGATATGAGAACAAAATGACACAAACAATTGTAATTTGGTTTGGTATATTTTATCACTTGGAATGATTTTGTCGTAGAAATTGATTGGGTCGCAAAACATTTAATTTGACGGATCTCTACTGGTGACGGCATGTCATGAGTATTTTTGGCACGACAAGATTTTTGAGAAGCCATCAAAAGAAATTCACTTGACCGTACTAAGAGTCATGAGTTTGCAAAATTAATCATGGGCGGGTTGTGAGTTATTATTAAGGACAACCCGTATTAGATTGAACGTTGAGTGTATAAATAGCGTGATAAGGAATCATTAATGAAGCAAGAACATGGATATAGGGTTTCTTTGTATTATGTAATATTTGGCACATTTCTTAAAGGGATTCGGTAACCTTGTCTCCGATCATGAAACAATATCCTGGATTTAGCTCATGCTGCAATGATAATTATAAACCTTTAGGTCAGTCAGAAACCCCATGACTTTTACAAGCCGATCGTCGGTCTAATTATCAATATATTTACGATTGAAAATCGAAATCAAATTTTGCGTTTTCCCAACGGTCTTCATAACAGTACAGTCTATTGGGGAAAACGAGTATGGTAAAAACCGGTCATTCAAAGGTTATTACTATTTCGAGGCACTTCTTGATCATTTTGATGCGCAAATTCTTTAGGGCTTCAATATTACACCATATCACATACACTGATAATTCGTAGTGCCGCGCATCTCAGATTTAACATTGTTAAACGATGCCTTTAACCATGTATACGATAATAAGTAACGATGTAAATTTGTGTAGGTTTGTATTTCTCGTTTTTCTATTTAGTTATGAAAAAACGACTAGAATTACACTTCCATTATTTCAAGCGTTGCATCCCGTTGAAGACTCTCAACGAAATTCATTTCAAAGGTTGAAGCACTTGATGAAGATTGTTATGGTTTGATGATAGAGAGTGCTTATAAGATCTCAATCATATTTCGCTAGAGTTTCAGTGCTTATTAAGCCAGAATTCTCGGACCGCCACTGAAGCGAAGATAATAACTGTAATTTACGAAATCACAAGGAGATTGCTAACCTGGCTATTAAAGCGTTTCCATTATTATCTGACCAAATTGCAGACGGGGTTTTAGTTTTCCTCCATGAACTAAGCATTTTTAATTTATTGAAGCAAAAACGGGGATGGATAATATTATTTTTATTTAAAAAATCTTCTTTTTTTCAGGTGAGTTTTCTATAGGGTATACATTCTCAAATTTTAATTTTCCATGTCTCAGTCCGCTCTAATCTCGGTTTAAAAAAAAAGAAAGTTTTACTTAATTTAACACATTGTACACTGCAAATAACTAAATATAAATATTGTGTCCAGTCACAGCAAGCAATTTTGTAGAGAGGAAAAAATGGATTGTGATCCTGCTCAACCTTTGAATGTAATAACTTAAAAATATAATTTAAGACCATATATATTTTTCTGTTAGAAACAAAGAGTCTATCATGCATAACCTTTCCTTTTAGAAAAAAACAATCATGCCTCGTCAATATTTGTCAATAAGTTTTAGAAGAGAAAAACATACTGACTAAACGAAGCCATTCATTTCAAAAGGAAATGGAATGGAACAAAATTTAAATGGTCAACCGTGCAAGATGCCAATATGCAAAATATACCCACGATAAGGAATGATCTGACGAGGTTTTCTTTTTAAAAACCCGTTCTAATATTTCACCCTTCATATCAAACCAACTTCCAAAGTACTACATGGATTCCCGGCCTCTGTCTTCAGTTTTAAAACTCATGTATTACGTTGTCAACATCTTGATCAGAAGGAACACTAGCGCCGGAGACCCAGTCATGGGAATTATTTTTTGAACCTTCTGATAATCGTGTACTTCGGAAGATTACAATCTTGGTCAAACTTTGGCGCCTGGTATCATAGTGTAATGAAAAAACGAACGAAGTCTTCCAAGGTATGCTATTAAAGGTAATACAAAGTGTTGGGAAATTTTGAAAATTGGGTGGATATTGATTCTTTACAATTTTGATATCTTTGGATGCCCCTCGGGATGTATTATAAGCACTAGAAAATTTAGCACCTAAAACACTTTTGCTTTCGAGAAAAATTGAATATAAAAATTTTCCGGTACTCCCGGTAAATTTTGATAAATTTCAAATAGCGCCTACGGCCGTACAATGGTAGCTGCGACCATGAACATTTCAGAATATGTAGTTGTGATATATGATTTCCAAACGGGAATAGCTATCGGTCATTTTTAGTCAGGAAACATTGATTTATAGCTTAATTAATTTCTTGACCTTGAGAGGGAGCTATACAAAATACAGAGTTTATTATTAACAATTTCATAACTTTAGACTCTATTTCAACAGCGACAACGATCACTGAATAGTGTAGGGTAGCATATGCTTCCAATATGTTCATTTGAACCAAATTCATTACCCCATACCAAAACTTTGTATTACCTTTAAGCGCTCTTAATTAGGCATTCGGTAACATCAAATAAGTCTCGCTGTACTTTTCATGAACGCTTTAAAACTGAAAACGCGCAGATTACCCAGTATTAAAGAGAGAAGCTTGAGTTCTCGGGAAGGTATAACAAATAAGATTATTCATGACTTTGTTTAATCGTTTTAGTGTGGAAGAATATTTCATCATTAAAACATACTCTGAAAAAGAATGGCTGACAGGCTGGGATTTGAACCCTCAACACTTGGATTGAGAGTCAGGTGAATGAACCACTACACCATGACATCGCCACAAAAGTAGTGGAACTCACCTCTCCTCCTCTCTTGGTTGTTATCACCCCTTCTGACCACGGGTGCTTGTCTGGCAGGCACCTGGCTTGGTGGACACATATCGAGCTCGTCGCATAAATCGTTCATCAGTTTTAGCAAAATCTCGTATTTCATCAGTTTCAATACACTCCTGTAATCGACCGGTTCTTCATTATCCTCCAAAGCCCATGCCGAGCCTCCTGCATGAAAAGAAACACCAAAAAATCAAATTAGTATTCAACAACAAAAGAATTGACACCACTAACAACAAAAAAAGTTAAACATTTCTATGTAACTTTTACAACGTTTTATGAAAAACGCAAGTGTCGGAGAATAAAACAAGCTCTGAAACCCTATGGGAAATTATATTTCTGAGAATATTCACGTAAATATTATTGGTTTTAACTCACAGGAACTCCAATGTGAAAGTGTCCCGTTGCTGTGATGCTGATTAAATTCTCAGACGTTCATTTTTTATCGAAATATTGAAAATATCGGGAAAATTCCGTCAATATGAGGCTTAACAGTTCCTCTTTTTTTCTTTTTTTTTTGTCGATCGTACTTCCGATGTCGTCTGGCAATCGTTTCTTCGTCATTTCAGAGGTGCTGCAAATCACCTAATTATTTAGCAGTGACGAATAGCAGTTTAGTTACTTTTTTAAAATTACATTTTCCAAGAGAGGAAATATAGACTCTAAAACAATGTTTGAGATTATATTGTATTATGGATATTCTTCTTGCCAATTAAAGTGTTTGTATAACTTTCCTTCCGTCGTTCATGGCTTTAAACTACAAACGATTTATAAATGTTTAAAGGCTTTATTTCTATAGAGTGTGTAATGTCCGTTAATGATTCATGCCCTGCGGGAACACTTCAATATCAAGGGCCTAATTTCGTCTCTCTTTCAGTAGTTTCAAGCACTTCTTCTCAAGATGTCGTTTGTTCTCAGGAGGGAGTGAAAACCTTCTCATCATTTTACTTCAAGAACAAACATGTCTCCAATTTACCAGGATGCATTTAATCCGCAGAGTAAAGCTTCTATATTCAGTACCGTTTGATATTTCCCCATATACGTGTGACTTAAGGGGATATATGATAAGATCCGAGTCAATATGTTTAAATGTTAATGGATGCAAGACGCATGTACACCTGAAAAAAAAAATCGGTAACAGCTTTTTTACAATCATGTTTGTAACATAAAATATGTCGGGGAATGAAAAAGATACAAACATAAATACAAAGATATATATGTATATATAGAGAGAGGGAGTGCGTGTGTGAGAGAGAGATAGAGAGACAGACAGATAGAGAGAGAGAGAGAGAGAGAGAGAGAGAGAGAGTCAAAAGAGCGAGAGAGGGAGAGACAGAGAGAGAGAGGAGGAGTATTGAATGTCAGAAATCGTGATTTAATGCTCAGCAAAAAAAAGGTGAAAGAAACTTTATATCAAACGTTATATAACGTGAAAAATGAGAAGTAAATGAAAGATTGGCAAAATAATATGTAAATGTGTTTGTGTGTGTGTGAAGTACAGAACGAATGGATTGCATTTACAATCGAAATATGAATTAGTATCTACTGAATGATAAAAGTACGTTTTTTATGATTGTATCTCCTCAACATTAACACTCTATGATTTAGTTTAGAGGCATTAATTATTTATTTTACAATCTACCATTATGAAGCAACACAGAGGCATTACATTGTAGTAAAAAAGACACAATATTAAAGGTAAAGACCAGTATTGGAAACGCCCCAATTTCAAAAAATGAAATGGAAGCTCTCATTACCAATCATGTGAAAGAATATGTTTTGACTAATACATGATGATAACAAATTTGCCAGGAAACCGCCTACTAATTCATATATTTGGTAAATTTGTTTCTCTCATGGTCTGTGAGAGATATAGGGTAGTCCCATATACATCTTTCTGTGTATAGTGCTTGTAACTTTACGAAGAATGGGCCAAATTTCTTATAATTTTGATGATTCCAGAACCTTGCAGATGCTAGATGCTAGATGATCAACCTTTTCTGATCGATTCCACAACGTTTCTTTCACAATGCAATCGCATGACCATAACTGGTCTTTACCTTTAAGCTTTTTTTCATTACATAGATATTATACGAGTATATGTGTAATCCATTATGATAATATTCGATTGGTTTATGGCATGTACAGAATGGTGGAGCATCTTGAAAAGGCGATGTTCATCATTATATTAATTACTAGAAAATGATACTTACTGGTACATCATTTCGGTCAAAACAGTTTAATGCAACAATTTGAAAAAATGCTCTAATTACAGATACGTCTACAACATTTTCTAGTTATTTTTGTTTTTCTTGAGAAAGAACTTCCATGTATGAAGTATCCTTGCTCTAATTACGGATACGCCTACAACATTTTCTAGTTATTTTTGTTTTTCTTGCGAAAGAGAGAGGGGGAGATACGACGCATCGAATAACAAAAAAATACTTTTGAAACTATTTGTAGGCAATGTCATCTCATTTTAATACAATGGCCGGGGGAGTACTGGTTCGTTTTCCTCGTGTTAATAGTAGTAAACACTCGTCCCTGGAAACAGCCTACACTATTCACTAATTGAGAAAGTTATATTTATTCTCTCTGTGTGACACTCTGTATCTCCTTTCTCTCTTTCCCTCTCTATGTTATTCCCTCTCTTTCTCTCTCTCTCTCTCTCTCTCTCTAATTGTGACTCTCTGTATCATCCTACTGTCTTCACCCCACTCCCTCTCTGACTCTCTCTCTCTCTATCTCTCTCTATCTCTCTCTTTCTTTCTGTCTCTCGCTGTGTCTTGCAAGCTTGCTCTTGCCGCACGAAGACATTCAGAGTCATGTCTCTGGTCAGACATAGTAAAACAAAAACTCAGATGATATGATGTGCACGCGAATAAAAAATCCATGATTCATAATTAGATTTGTTGACGCTTTGGACGTGATGCAGGGGGGGGGGGGGAGCTCGGCGGCAAAGGGCTTGCGACCCTTAGTGGAATTTCGAGAACATATTGATACTAAAATCGTTGCATATTTTGTATCTTGATAAATGTACATACACGATTGTAAAGAAATCAACGGAAAGGGGAAATGCAAAAAAAGTAGTAGTAGTAGTAGAAGTAGTAGTAGTCGTCGAATTAGTAGTAGGAGTAGCAGTAGATAAATATAGATTTATTATTTTAATAGTATAGTTGTATAAGTGGTATAAGTAGTAGTAGTAATAATGAGAAGAAGAAGAAGAAGAAGAAGAAGAAGAAGAAGAAGCGAAGGAGAAGAAGATGGTAAAGATTAACAACGTAGAAAAAGTGGAAGTAGGAGAACAACCTTGTTTGTTATAGCGCGTGATGCTACTAAGGTTAAGAAGTACTTCCAGTTATTAAACTATAAAATGTGTAATAATTTCTACGTCATTCGATGCTTCATAATTTTCATGGAAGATGATAAGATCAGTTGGAGGACTCTACGTATTATGCCTCTAAGCGCTTTTCGTGATTATGGTTGTTCATTCTGAGGATCGGAAGCCAAGATAATTAAAAATTGGACCTTGTAGATTCCTAGGGTAACACTTCAAGACTTCTTGAAACGCGTAGGACAAAGTTTGCTCTATATGATCCTTCTACAAAATTATGATAAACACAACAATGAAGGAGTTATACATCCGTAGTCAGCCTTTAGTGTTAAAATCATCAGATTAGTTTTCTTTCTGGTAAGTAGTTTTTCTGTTATACGCGGTACTTTATTAAAGCAGAATTTGTTTTTGTCACTTGAATGACTGCCATTGCAGCCCTAATATTATCTATCCGTATCAGATTTTGCGCGTAATAAAAGTCTCCGCAATAAAACGACTCCTGCTGGCGTTAATCTTTCAAAATCATTTTTTTTTTGTCATCTCTCTTTTGGAAACATTAGAATCATTCATCTGTCTATCGACCAATTAACGTTATGAAAATTCGCTGGGTTTTCGTGAAAACGGAATTGTTATTCGAATTTAAAAATATTTCTTTCAATTTCGTAATGATAGGCTACTTTTTTCCAGATGAATGTCATTCCGTTGCATTATGTGGTTTCAACCAAAATAAAAATACTATATATGTATGTCTACTGTTGAGGGTATCTAATGTAACACTCCTAGATACTTCAATTCGTGGGTTTGAATTACTTAACAATTAAATGTCTCCTGAAATCCAGTCGTTTGAGTGGCATATCAATTTATAATCCCGTTTATAGTTCAGCTCAACAATCGTAATAATTTAGGGGCAATCACTTGCTCTCCCCAAAATGTCAAGAATCAGAAACACAATGAAGCACAAGTTTCTTAAGCTCGTAATGTTTGGCATTTAGCATGTACCTACTTCGTAGTAAGCTCAACAAAGATCGTGATACTTCTCGAGCATATATTGCTTGTTAGAGATTTCGCAATATGTTTGAAATAAACGAAACACAACCCGTTTCAGCTTATTAGTGACCCGAGTTTTCATATCTCCTTCTATATCTTCTTTTCTACTCTTTCTTTTATTCTCAATGGTCTAAAAAATATCAACGAAATATTTCAAGCTTACCTTGAGGGCCTTCTGTGATACTTAATGCTGATGACATCTGGACGGCTATGATAAGAAGAGCTGCTAAGGAAAGTAGGGTGCTTATTGTTGAATTCATGTTTCTGAGTTAAGTTGGATAGTTTCTATCCGTCAACTTCACGGATTCACTGAGCAAACGTCGGGCAACACTGGAGGCTTTGGAGTAGCTGACCAATCTACGATGATGCGATGAAGAAATCACACAAACAAATCCAAAATATAGTTCAAAAAGTTTCTAACAGGCGCCGTTTTCCTTTCTATAATCTCTCTTCATTCCTTTATTAAAACAGGAGGACCGCGTTTGTTTTTAATTATGTGCAGCTGCCTGTAGATTCGCGCCTAGAATGTGGCTTGTGAAAGTTTTCCAAGAGTTTTTATGCTGCCGTAGGATTACTCTTTCCTGTCAGACTTTTCGTAGATTGATGAAACAGGGATTCTCTCGATATCATCAAACTCTGAAAATGGTTACCCCTTCAGTTTTTGAGGACAGTGTGCAATCCACTTCTTTACGGCTGAGCTGATGCGCAGTGGGATAGTTATTTCTACTTAAGGCGCAGAGAAGTGGCGGGAAAAAAGCACTCTCGAGGCAGAAAAGCGCGCGCAATTCGCAATCACGTTTGGTCTCTGAGCGGTCTCTGACACGTCTGGTTTCACAATCAAGTATCTCGGCCGACGTGTCTTATACTTTGTTTTCGGAGAAAACCGTATTTCAAGAAGAAGGAAAATTATCACTGTTCTGTACTTTTTGTTTTGAGAGGGTGCCATCTTGTGAAACAGAGCCGTTGAGCAAGATGTAAATACAAAATCTATAGTAATTAAGCAGTCTAGTAACGTTTTGCTGTGTCAAGGCAACATTATGTTTTATAATCATACACTAGGTTTGTTTTTGCATAAAGTTGTATTGGTCGGCAATGCAACCGGCTTGAATATACAGGTTTCTATTTCGGACAGAATTTGGGGATGCTAGTGGTTAAATAAAAAAGAATGCAGGAAAGGAAGAAACGGAGAAAGTAAAGAATTATAACAAGAAAAAATTAATTAAAGGCCCACTGCACTACTGGTAGCTACTTGCGCCCTCTATATAACAAACAATGCCTAATCGGTGACCATTGGTCCCCCATGATCCTCTTTTTCTTATGTTAACTGAGAGCTGAGTTGATGAGATAACCACCTGTCTAGTGACCTTGCAGAGCGGTCTAATCCCTCCTGTAAACTACGGCAGATAAGCTTTAAAACAAAATAAGCACAAAAGAAGCAACAAAGAAAAAGGAAGAAAGAACCCATACACAAAAATGGAGTCATTAGTATTTATCTTATTAAAATGCAACTTGAAGGCCGAATGTGGGATTGTATGTTTGCGTCCACAACCTCGAATCATGTAGAGATGCCTAAACCGCTCACTTGCTATTGAACCTCTGCTTGGTTCGTAACAAAGTCGATGCGCTAGTGCCCTTTGGTAAGGCATTAATCCTCATTACCAGGTCCCTCGGAGAGGACCTGAAGCCGTCGGCCGCCTGGTTGCTTATTTACAAGCATTTATGCTTTCTTAGCAGTCAGGTAAAATAACCACCACCACCATTATAATCAATTTGGCTGTAAAAGTGCATTGTTTTTTGTGTAAATGTACGCAGAATCGATTCTCATACGTAAATCCGTCATTAATTTAGCCAGTGGGCGCGATAGGGCAAGCACAAGATAAAATAACATACGACATACTGTGAGCAACTGTAATATAGTTGGCCAAATTCTGTGTATAGATGGCTCTAGGTATGCGGCTTGTAAAAAAAAAACCTGAAACCCTCCTACTAAAAATCTGCCCAATAGGACTAGGATCTATCGGAAATATATTTAAAAAAAACATCTGTATATTCTAACTCACATCAAACTTATCCGTACAGGGTGAGCTGTTGATGCTTGTAGCTAGACCCCCCTCCCCCAACTCCTTTCTCCAGAAAGTTTTGAATTATCGTTATCCCGCTCAATTGAGATAACGATTAATTAATATTTAGACAAGCAAGGTCATCCCCCAGGAATTTTGTTCCCTTACGTCAATGACATGCAATAATTAATTTAATTTAATTGAATAATTAATCTCCAACAATTTTCATTCTGACTGAATATGTCCCTTTAGGAACTTAAACTATGCTAAATAAAAAAAGTAAACCATCAGCGGCGTCCAATAATGACCAAAATCAGAACATTGCCATCTTCCTAAAGGGATTGGGTATCTTTGTCTCAGATTCTGAAACAATATCCTTGAACGTTGGGTGTATAAATAGCGGGATAAAGAAGCATTAATTAAGCAAGAACATGGATATAGGGTTTCTTTGTATTATGTGGCACATTTCTTAAAGGGATTCGGTAACCTTGTTTCCGATTATAATACAAAATCCTGGATTTAGCTTATGATGCAATGATAATTATAAACCTTTAGGTCAGGCAGGAACCCTGTGACTTTTACAAGCAGATCGCCTGTTTGATTATCAAGATATCTAATTGAAATCGAAATCAAATTTTGCGTTTTCCTCACGGTTTTTATAACACCACAGTCTATTGGGGAAAACCCTAAAACCGGCACTCAAAGATTTTCAATTTTTTGAGGCACTTCATGATCACTTCATGGGAGGTTGTGGGTTCGAACCCCGGCCGCGTCATACCAAAATACGTTAAAAGATGGGAGTTGTTGCTACCTTGTTTGGCGTTCAACAATAAGGGATAGAGCAACGTCGATCTTGCGCTGCTCAGTGGCTGCCGGGATCACGATCAATTGGGCAAAAAGAATTTCCGTTTCGGTTTAATAACATTTGGAGTGGACTATTAGGCTATTATTATTATTATTATTTTGAAGCGCAAATTTTTAGGGCTTCAATATTACACCATTTCACAACACCATAACACGTAGGGCCATATCAGCGTCGTCTACTACTTAAGGACCGATACGAAATGTTCGGTATCTACGCAAAAGCTGATCGGTTTGAAAGTGTGTCCAAAGTTCGCAGATGACCGCAGTTCGCACGTGACTTAAGTTCACTCACAGATCCATATCTCAGGAAATCGGCTGTCCATTTGCGATCAATTGATCTGAATAAAATGTATCTATAACATGAGATATCATGGATCGAATATCACATTCCCGATTTTGTTTTCTTGAAAATATGCTGGAACTTTGGACACCCTATCATACTTAACGGCCCGGTCGATTTCGTCAGCACCTAGGCAGAAAAGACGGCAGTGGACAAGAACCGGAAGGGGAGGGGAGGGGGGCAAAAGCCCATCCCCTTCCGTGGAATGTTCTAATAAGCGATATTCTAGAGAGAAAAAAGCAAACTTATATTTCATTTTCAGGCAGTGATCGGTAACTTGCGATCAAATCAAATGACATGTAATATTGTGGGGTTTTTTTAGTACTAATTAAGTCGAATGTACACTAGAATCAACCATTAACATTTGTCATTGATTTTGTTTATAGTGTAGACTGACACGCTTTAAAGTATAATGAATCCAATATCTTACTTTGGAAGAATTCAAAAACTATAAAGAACCACTAAACTTAAACTTTGAATTCATGCAGTTACATTGTATTGCTTCATTTTATTCAGAATAAGGCTGTATTCTTTTGGCGCCATATCATCAGTATAATCATGATAATAAGATCTTTGAAGAAGGAAAAACAAGATTATATTCGTTTTCGATATGCGTTGTCCGCTCTGTAGGCCCCATATGCCCTCCCTTATCACTAATCTCAGCATTTCTGATCCCTCCCAGTTGAGAAGTTATCATGACGACGTTCGCAATACTAATGATATATTAATGGCGTCGTTTATTAGGCATGTTAATTTAATCCCCTTCCTCTCCTAGGTTGGTTATATTGTCTGTTTCAAAAGAAAAATGAAAGCACCCTTAAGATGCATTTCTTTACTAGATGGAGTTAATATTGAATCCTCATTGTTTTTATGTGCACCTAGAGACAAATAAATATCTTCTCCAGTTAATAATTTCAGTAACTTGGAAAAGAAATGACAGTTTCCCCAAAAAAAATGAATATTGATAGATTAATAAAGATAAATCGAGCCCTTAAATATATATCATTATTAATAACAGTTTTTAGCTTTAAAAATTTACGTTTTTGCATTTGCATTGGAACTGCGTGGTTTTTTTTTTATTCCATTAAACCGATTAATTTTGTTATTTCAATGATTTTAAATATTTCATTCAAAGTTTACAACAAGAGAAATACAACTACTTTTACAACAACAAAACTGTTTTTATTATTTCGTAACATGATACTTCTACTCCTATCTGCTACTTTGGAAAAGTAGAATAAAAACACCCTTACCGAAATTGATGATTTTGATGTCATTGTACATTGAAAGAATTTTCAACCGGAAGTAATTTAAAACTAATGACAATGAGTCAATGATTACGTTGAAATTGCATATCTTACACGTGGCGTTTTAGGGGCCTTATTATATAGGCTTATTTGTTGTTTCAATGTCACTTTATTAACAATCACGAACATCAACAAAGAAGTACATGTGATAGTAAATATGATTGTATAGATACTACACAAAAAATGATATAAAGGTAGAAAATAGAGAGAGGAAGACAAAAAGAGGGGATAAAATACGTTGATTTTTATAATTAACGATACAGAGCTAACGTATGAACTATATTGGTGTATAAATGTTAAGTATTATCTCAAAGAACCCATAAAATGCAACCTTATCGTACACCCCATTTGCTGGATATATCTGGCATGAAATTCTGTTCTCTTCCTTTTGCTTCCCCGACACTAAATATCCATCTTCCCAGGGGACGGCCCATAAAGGACCATTGAGCTGGACGAGGGAAGAAATGACATCATGCCGTAGACTCACGTCGAGTGTTAATTGACTATTCTAAATGGCCGCGTCTCCTGGCTATCCCCAGATGCATTTCATGAGGATGTGATCAAACAAACCCTACCATCTTCGTCAAAACAGTCTTGAGACTGACCGGCATAGAGGATATTAAACCGATTTAGACGATCATGGTGATGGGAGATTTAACCCTTTACTGGCTTAAGTCGAGTATTCAGGCAAATAGCATATTGCTACTGTTGACTTGTGTTACATGTAAAGTGCAAATTAAGCATCCATTTAAAACAATGTGGCGGACAAGAGTATCGATCTGTTATTGAGTTAAATGCTCCCACCGCCAAGGATGCACCTGATATCATCTAAAATCTCGCATGATGACATACGAAATTTAGTTTGAAAGACAGGGAGACAGCCACCTTTTGATAAAAAATTAATATGAGGAACGTACAAGATCTTCTTTGAAGCTGTTAAAAGTCAAGATCATGGTACTTTTGTGTTAATATAAGTTACAGTAATATTCTATGATCTAATCATTACCGCAATGAACTTTTCGTCAAAATATTGTAGGAACATATTATGTTACATCGGAAATAAGCAAGTTATGAAGCAAGTTATTAAGTATCGATTCCTTGCTAAGAAGT